AGACTGCACTTGGTTTAGAACTAATATACTCAGTGTGGTATTTGCAGCTCATTGTGTCATTTGTCAAGAAATTCTATAACTTACACACATCAAGAACATACTACCTAGTTGGTAGTCACAATTAACAAATTAAAAACTTGAAAACTCAAATAAATTTAATTTAGAAAGCAATCTTCTGGGATTTGGCACCGTGTATATGTGGTGTTAACCGACGTTTCGGAGGAACGTAAGCAGTCTGCTTTTACCGGTTCTCACGCTCTCCGCTTGCAGATTTCTTATATTTTTTCTTCTACCCTGAAGATGGAGGCGATAAGTTCCTCCGAAACGTCAGTTAACACCACATATACATGGTGCCAAATCCCAGAAGATTGCTTTCTTCATAGTCACCGCTGTGAAAGCCTCAAATCTTACAAATTTAATTTAACTTAATTGTGTAAAGCCTTCTGTGTCAATTTTGACACAAATTTTAAACTGCAGAATGGGAAAAAATACATTATGACATATTACATAGAATTACTCAAGTTTTCAGTCAGTGTAAATAAGAGTAGCGTTTTTGTGCTGCTGTTACTAAAATGAAAGCTTGTCTGCATAGAACAGTACTGCAGATGTGCAACAATGCCTGATACAAAGAAGGATAAAAAAAATACAACTGGACACATCTGCTAGCCAATTAATCATAATCAGAAACTGTATTTATAACCCACTCCAACACAGTAAAATTGGCTTTGTACACATGAGTCTTGGTCTGTCACATTAAGGGAAGAATACAGTCTGTGGGTGTTTAAAAACAGGGTGCTGAGAATATTTGGATATGGAAAGCATGAAGTAACAGTAGGATAAGCAGCCTCCGTAGTCTAGAGGTAACGTTCCCACCTCATGACTCGTAGTACGCGGGTTCAAATACCCGGCGGAGGTCGTCGAATTTTTAAGGGCGGAAAAATTCAGGGAACAAGTCCTCCGGGAGGGACTTTAAGCCGTGGGTCCCGTGTCGTAGCTTTACGGGACTGATTGTAAGTACCAATACCGGTAGGATATAGAGACTGGTAGAAATCATAGAGGGAAGCACAATGGACCAATACAGGTCTAAGTGCATGGGGAAACCCACCCTCTCCAAATAACTAACTAACTAACAGTAGGATACAGAAAACTGCATAATGAAGAGCTTCAGTTTGTACTCCCACCATACATTATTTGGATGATCAACTCAAGGAGGATGAAACTGGTGGGGCAGGTACTTTGGTTGGAAAACTTAAAACACAGACACCATTAGGAAGGCGTAAATGTTTATGAGAGGGTGATATTAACCTGGAACCTAAAGAAATAGGGTGGAATGGTGTCAACTGGATTCATATGGCTTGGAACAGGGATTAATGGTGGGCTCCTGTGAACACAGTAATGATCCTTTGGCCTTCACAAAATGCAGAATTTCCTGACTGACTGAGCAACTATTAGCTTCTCAAGGATTCTACTCTATGGAGTTAGTGAAATCTTTATATGAGTGGCATATCTCTTCCCAAATCATCACAGTCCTGTATTACCTTCCTCCTTAATGAACAGTAATTTCCATTATTTAAATTGGTATTTAACAGACGGGCCATTTAAATTCCCATAATGGCAGCAGGCCGGAGTTAATTTAAATGTCCACCATTGTAGAGTATTAAAAATTGTAAGCATTTACAGAAAATTGTGAGATTTCTACAATTTTTGTGATAGACGAACGAAATAAACGCTGCCTTTATCTAGAAAGAATATAGAATCAGATATTGTAATTTACAGATTTTAAAGTCTGTAAAAATTGTTACACTGATTACAATTTTTTTTTCCCCCCCCAATTTCAAGTGTCTGTCCACAAATATGCATACAGTTTCTGCACAAAACGTTTCTGTAGTATAAATGCATGCTGCTGACATCCTGTCTTACTATGTCTTATCTTGAAAAGGGGGAGGAAGTTTATGTTTGTATTGCACATTCTCCAGTCATGTCAGAAACTTTCTGTATGCACGAGTGTGGGCGAAGTCTTATTGTACTTTGTCCTTCAGAAACTCTGACTGTGTATATCTTGGACTAGCCACACAGAGGTACTGTTCTTGGAATATCCCCACATTCCCCCTTGCTTCCACGCCACTTTCAGAGTCGTCTACCGCATTCTGAATTGGTGTCATTTATCAGCAGCCTATCAATTTCGGCTTCTTCCATGCGAAATGAGACCATGGTAGATAGTTGAAATTGCGATCTTTTATAAGTGTTACGATTAGAGGAGGCCACTTGACATCACTGGCCGATTTCCGCTAATACGAGACTGAGGTGTCATGTGTGCTCTTCGCATGGGAAACAAAGTTACATCTGGACAAGGTGCATGAATTGCGACATCAGACTCTGCATTCAGTTAGATTACGCAGGTGGGAAGACTGTACTTATAAAGCAGGTGCCCAAAAATAATGTAAGTAGAACAAGAGTTTCTACCTTAAAATTAGATTTTAAAACACTGTGCGCACGCATGGACTGCACGTACCCATATGGTGTCGGACAGCCACTTGGCTACACTTCAAAGGTCTCCATATGGTGTCGCTAGGCTCTTAAAGGTTAAAAAAAGAGGAGGATGAGGTGGTGGGCAGGGCATGTAGCACGAATGGGGAAGACCAAGGCATAGGTGGGTGGAAAATATTAAAATGGATCTTAGAGATAGGATGGGATGGTATGGATTGGGTTGATCTGGCTCAGGATAGGGACCAGTGGAGGGCTCTTGTGAACATGGTAATGAACCTTCGGGTTCCATAAAATGCTGGTAAGTTCTTGAGTAGCTGCAGAATTGGCGGCTCCTCAAGAAGGGCTTAGCTCCACAAGTGAGTAAGTAAGTAAGTAATTAAAAAAGAGTGGGAACTCCAATCCAGCATTAGCCATCACACCTTATATTTTAATCATCTTGATCAACACTGTAATCACAGAAAATAACATTCAGAATTATTTCACCTTTTGTCATTTATGATTATACATAGGGATACAAACAAATAACAGGTTATATAATTTTCTGCATACTGAAATTCATCTAAAAATAGCAATCATTAAATATTATCAGAATATTACAATTTCATAATGCAATTGGCATGGTTCCATCTAACAGTATGATTTTACACATACAGGAAGGGGTACACAATACTTTCCCCACTTAGCAAGACTGATGTTTGAAATTATGATTAAATATCTATGGAACTATGTAAAATTTTCTTGCATAATGTCCTTTGTTATCACGTTTCTATGCTAAATATATAAACAACATATATTTGCAAGTTCTGTTACCTCAGTACACATTTATGAACATTCACTGTAATGATTCTAAGTGTTGATGTATACTACAATAATTGGCCGTATACAAAGTTTTCCAGTACATTTGGACTGTCATGGTCCTGAGCTGTAGAGAATTTTATGTACATGCACAGACAACACACCCATCTGGATGCATTCAGACTATTCCAGAAACTTTAAGGACTGTTGTTAACTCCTGCTAGCCACATATACACAGACTTTACTCTAAATCCATGTGTGTGTGTGTACTTTCTAGTAGTGAGGATATTTGTTTTCCAATAAGGTGCATGACTATATTTCTCCTTTAAACATAACCAACTTTTAACACACTTGGAATGATGTTGAGATGTATTAATTAATGACATGTGCACCATTAATGTAATTTTATCTAGTCATGGCCCTGTTTCCCTTAGTAGTACCAATGTAGTAACATTTTTTACAACAAATTTTGAGAAAATTTTTCTATCATTGTGACCAATCTTTCAAACATATTTTACTACAAATTTAAATGAAGTTGAAACAATCTCAGTGCAATTTCCACAGCAGTCTCTTGTGTTTTAACTACATAGGTAAGTCAATAAGTAAGTTACAAATAGATTTAGAACTTAAACAAATAAGAGTACGGATTTGAAAAACGCTTTTATTTCCCAACTTAATCTCCGTATACATTGAGGCACTTGTCCAATCGTTTCACAAGCCCCTGAAAACCAGCAGCTACTGTCGGAACCAGATGGCGACTTCAATTTCTACAGCTTCATTGTCAGGAAAATGTTCAGCCAAAAGATGATGTTTAAGAGGGCTAAAAAAATTGAAGTCACATGACAGGTTAGGCTTTCACACAGTCTGTGCGTGATGGGTGCCGCACACGCTGACCCCACAACACAAAATGCAAAGAATGGGTCTGGCATTACCCCATCTCAATCACTACCACAATAAAGGACAGGATTTCCTAGCCCGAATTGTCACAGGTGATGAGTCTTGCTCCAAGCAACTTCCATTTTTTGGCCCTCTTAAACATCATCTTTCGGCTGAACATTTTTCCGACGATGAAGCAGTAGAAAGGGAAGTCACCACCTGGTTCTGATAGCAGCCCAAAGAATTTTATGCTGCTGGTTTTCAGGGGCTTGTGAAATGATGGGACAAGTCCCTCAATGTACAGGGAGATTTTGTTGAGAAATAAAAGCATTTTTCAAATCAGTACTCTTGTTTGTTTAAGTTTTATTTCCATCTGTAACTTACTTATTGACTTGCCCTCGTATGTAACCACCTCCTGTCTGACAAAGTGTCTACTGTCCTCCAGTAAGGAGAAGGCAACACAAGTATCTAGACCTGCTTGCATAAGCTGTGCAAGGTGAAAACACTAAAGCTAAATGTGTCACTAGATAAGCAGCAGAATGGCTAATCCAATTAGTTCTTCTCACCAACTGCCTTGCCTTCCCTTCCCTGAGGGTAGTGCAAGGACCCTTTCTACACAAATTACTGTACTCAGTACTGTTAGATATGGTTACAGTCCTCATTCTAATGAATTGTGATTTATTTCCGACAATGGTAGCAGAACATAAAACCCATATCTGCAGAAATACAGAACTTTCACTACTATGAATTTGCCACATTACATACAGTGAAGATTAAACAGCAACAAACACACAGTAATATGTTAACTATTACTGTGATCATGTGTTTTATTTTCAATGCTGCAAAGGCAGTCTTCAACTAATGGTTCATTACATGTGAGTTATAATCTTCTTGGCAGTATGGAAGAGCCAAAATTCTTAATTTCAGTTTAAACAAAGGCACATTCACAAGGAGGCCATGTCCTTAATCTGCAGATACACCCCAACTAATGTGGAAGATCTGAAAGATGAACATTTAAAATAAGTGGTTCATATAGTTTTAAGAACCCACAATAACAATATTGTTACTTCTACATATCTGCTAAATTTTATTCCGCACTGAATGTCTATGGTATATTCAAGAAGTTGCACTCAGAACTGTAGAGGCTTATAAATTTTTGTGACAATTTGTTTTGGTTTATTAAAAAGACATTATCATATTCATGAATCAAATTTTCTTTCCCTCACCTGGTATGTAACAACATAATTTATTGTTTTATAGCATATTGAACTGGTAGTGTGTGTACAGCATGAAGCAATTCCCTATAATGAATACAGACAGTACAAGTCATGACTCTGCACAGCATTCAGTTAACATATGTCCATATCCCCGATTTTAGCTATACTATTGCCTAAGTCCTATTTCATAAAGTCAGAGCAAAATCATAGCTCTGACTATGAGCAATGTAATTCATCAATATGTAGCAGCAGGCTGTGCAGCTACAGCATCCCTTTATTTTCCACCAAAGATCTGGTGGAAAGTTGTTCCATTATAGCCCACATTAGCAGCATCCTCATCGGTAAATGTGATATACAATCTGGAACAGAGAATTGAATCCTGTTTCTATTGGTTGAGAAAACTGAGTGTCATAAGGCTGCAACAATTATACATACAGATATGTAAATATAATTTTTAAACAAAATGGGGATCACAATATGACCATATGACACTGTGATGCAGTAAAGGGAGTGTTCAACTGCTGAACACATCACATTGGGGTTTAAACTTCAAAGAAGAATTAACTATGTCACAGACAAATTCACACCTCTGCTCAAAAACATCTGCTGCAACTTCTCCCCAGTTAATTGTCTGTGGCCAGAAATCTCATGTCATGTAGTTTTGAGTTTGTTTCTGGTGGTTCATGTCCATCCATAGGCAGGTCTCAAAATATGGAAGTGACTGAATTAATGTAGAGTTTTAATTAATTGTCTATGGCAGAAAACAATATAGGCAACATGCAAGAAAATAAAACTGGAATACTAATACTTGAAAGACTTTTCAAAATATGATTACAGAGGCTTTCCTCACAGATAACATCACCAGGCTGTAAGGATAACCTGAAAAACACCTGGGTTAAATTACAATATAAAATCATGCTTCTGCGAAAGTAGTTTGACTTTCATTGCCTCAAATATACTCCTTGCATTACATTTATCTAATTCTGTCACACAGTATATATACTTTCAAATTGCCATTTCATATATAAATCATTACACGCTGACTTTAAACAACTCCTTCACAAGTGTTCTGGTTCAGGCGTGACTTATGAAACATTTAAAACAGTAATTTTTTATTCTGATCTGCATACTTGCTTCTGCACATAAAAGATACTGAGTAATATGTGCAAAATAAACTGAAGAACTATACAGCCACAGATAAAAAAATCCCTGTATCCATAATGTCAATATTTTAAATTCTGTTATATTGGAAAGTTCCTGAACTAGGTCAAAAAAGAAATGCTAGCTTAACTTATTCAATTTTGGCTACCACCTCCTTCAAAATAGTCTCCTTGGAAAAGTATACAATGATCCGATCATTTTTCTCACACTTCAAAAGCACTGTGGAAGTAATTTTCCTTAGTGCTGTCAAGTACCACTTGCAATTCCCTTTGGATGTCAGACACTGTTTCAAAACATTGTCCCTTCAGTTTAATTTTCAATTTGGGAAACAAAGTGTTATCACTGGGAGCTAAGTCTGGGGAATGATACCCATGTTGTCAGTCACAAACTGCGGCTTTCAGGGAAGTGTGGGCAGGCATGTCATGATGAAGGAGCCATTTGTGGTTGTGCCAAAGTTCCAGTCTTTCTTGTTGAACATTTTCTCTCAAGCATCTCAAAACATCACAGTAAAAGCCAGAGTTGAACATAGTGTTAGGGGGAACAAACTGACGGTGAACAATCCCCTTCACATAAAAAAAAAATAAATTAGCATGCTCTTTGTTGAATGCTGGACGTGCCATGCCTTATTGCTCTTGGTGATTGTGGGCTCCTCCACCGAGACAATTGCTACTTTCTTTCTGGATCACAACCGTGGATCTAACTTTTGTCACCCATTATGATCCTGGAGATAAAAGTTGGGTCCCTATTAGCCTTCTCTCATAGCTCAAGACATGTTTATGCACCACTGCTTCTGATCATTTGTCAAGAGTTTGGGAACAAATTTTGTGGCAATGCGGCTCATGCTCAAATATTCTGTTATGATCTCCTGGCAAACTCCATAAATGATCCCAAAGGTGTCTGCAAGCTCATGAATTGTTCAGCAACAGTCTTCATGAATGAGTTCTTGAACTTTGGTGCTTGGTCACCATGAGTGTTTGTCATCTTCAACTAACACTCAATTGGCCTTGAAACGTGAATGCCAATCAAAAACTGCTGTATACCTTAAAGAATATTCTCCAAAAGCCTCACGATTTTGGCAGCAGATTTACAGAGCTTCACACAAAATTTGATGCAGACATATTGCTCAATTTTGCCATCCGTTGCAGACAAAAGAAAGACAAAGTTGAAAAAGCACTCATGCAAATACAATGTATGCTCACAGCATGGTGTCACATGGCAGACTAATGCAATAGGCTTGCAGAAATGTGACCTCTGCCTCCTCTCTCATCTTCTTTCACTGAGGCAGTTACAACAATAACAGTCTGGGAGCTTCAGTCAGTACCACAATGTCTACTTCTGCCAAAAAGAAAAAAAAAAAGGTTCTTCTAGATACTAGATGCACTTTAGTGCACACAGTTATTCTGTCCAGTTGGTGTCTTAGTATAGAGTGGAATTTCCATTTAATACTCCTAGACTTGACATTTTCCCTCACTTAATGTTTAATTTCAATCAACTCAAATCAATAATCTCAGTGCTGAATTTCCATTATTTGAGACTTTCCTTCAGTTAGCCTTCAAAACCACAGTTCCCTGTTCCCCAGACTGACCTTAAATTAATTTTTACTGTAAATATAACTGTCTTTCTTAACTTTTCAAGCTACTTAGGTTAGGTTTTTTGATGAAGTTTGCCTGTAACAATTTCCCACTGAAACTTCAATGGGCTTTAAACTAATAATCAAATAAAAGACACTCAGCTTTTAGACTGCACTATATATTGACTGAATAATACAAATCACTTAATTTATTTTTTTAACCCATGGACTTATAGTTTGGTCTTAACAGAAAGGAATCCAGAAGTAATCACAACTGGACTTCATCGCCCTCAAAATATCAATTATATAAGAGAGCAGAGAGGAAATTCTCTTGATATTTCAAAGGTGACTTCCACCCACTGGCAAACAGTTACGCAAAGCAAAGTGTGTGCAATAACCAGAACTACATTTATTTATCACAAATTCCAGTCAATGTAATGCTCTTTATTATTATATTTCTGTTGCAAACTAAGGCACATGTGAACAATAAGATCTAACCATACTGTGCAGAAACATCGAAATACCTCCCACAGCATTTACAGAAGTATGACCATGACCTCTTATTCATTTACTTAGAAGTATACCTCATTACTTTTATAACCAGAAGGTTCTCCACCTGTTACGAGGAATTCCAAGATTTTTTTCTATGTGGTCATACAGAAGGGCTGCGTGCTTTTTATTCTCTTCAACGCCCAATTTCCCAATGGACATTAGTGTTGCTGTTCCACATGGCTCAGTACTTCCACCCCATGCCATTGGCTGATCTGGTATAACAGCAGCAACACAGTACTAAAGTAAGGATGAAAGAAATATCACTCATTATGAATGTCATGCAATATTTTCTAAACATAGTAAAGTAAAAAATAATTAAAGCTATCCCTGTACCAGGCCATGAAGGCCCATAGGGTTGTGATACGTTGAGGGTCCCACACTATCTAAACAATCAGCTCAAAGATGGCGGTAAGGTTGTCAGCCTTACACACCAGCTGCGCTTTACTCCCCAGGAAAATTATTTAATTAATTCCTGGTACTCATTTCTGTTAGACACCGAGTAAACCCCAGGGCCTAGTGCGGCTGGAAGGATTAGGTCAACTGAAAAAAATCTGATGACTTCATCGGGACTTGAACCCGCGACCTTCCGGCTTCTTGCATAGTCCCTCAACCAACTACACTACTGTATGCCCCTTTTCTAAACATAGTACATATAGAAATCTCTTTTTATTTTCAAACACTTCCTTCTTGGGCAGCCTCATGGCCTATAGTACTTGAAGAAAGTAGTCTTCTGGGATGTGGAGCCGTGTAGATATTGTGTTAACCGATGTTTCAGAGGAACATATTGCCTCCAACTTCAGGGTAGAAAAAAAAAAAAGAAAAAATCTGCGAGCAGACAACCAGAGTGAGTAAGTGCTAACAGACTAAGTCCAGTCAAGTAAAGCCAGCTGTATAAGAGAAGGGAGAGGGACTACATAGGAAATCAATAGAGGTGAGGGGAAGGGTCTTGGGAGGTGGGCCAGCAGGTAGCAGGCCAGAGCAGTCTGTTAGCACCTGCTCACACTGGTTCTCCGCTTGTGATATCTTCTTTTTTCTTCTACCCTGAAGATGGAAGCGATACGTTCCTCCGAAACTTTGGTTAACACAATATCTACACTGCGCCACATCCCAGAAGACTGCTTTGTTCATAGTCACCGCAGTGAAAACCTCAAATCTTACATCTATAGTACTCATTCAACTGTTCCTCAGTATTTAGAATACCCTCTATTGAAAAACATGGAGTTCAAAAATATTATTCGACAATTCTATTAGTAATTATGAAAGAACAGGGTATCAAGATTTTCAATGAAGTTTGTCTGTTAATGCTTTCATTGGAGATTCAGCTGCCTGTTTAACAAGTTCAACCTGCTTTCCATTAAATTCTTCCACCTATATAGAGGCACTAGAATAACTTACAGATTACAATTAATTGTCTGCATAATCTATTCGTTCCAATAACACAGATCTGACCTAATGCCTGAAAATTAGCAACAACAAACTAATTGATCTTTCCCATTTAGACACTTGTAATTCAAGAAGTTTCGTACATAACTTCATGACACAACCGTGATCTATAACCATTTCAGATATCATCCTTGTAGCTAAAATGGTTTGCCAATATGAATTACATAACTGAAGTAGAGTTTGCATAGAAGCCATGTTAGGCTCATATTTGGACACATGTTCATATTTTTCAACACATCCTAATTCAATTATAAGCTATGCTGGGTAAGTTCAGTTTGTTTTGTTTGTGTTCTTTCTAGTGCACATAAATCAGACAGACACTACAACATTTCTACAGTTAGACACCCTCATATGGTTCCACAATAAAGAGTGCCAATTATGTGACTGTCATGTTTTAAATATTTTCCCATTCATTCCATTTGTTACAAGAATCTCTTATACCATGAATACTGATATGGAACTTAATAACAATGTACTCATGACAATACAGTAAGCATAAAATGGTGTACAATACAATTTTCATCTCCTTAGAATGTTACTCCCAAAACAATGGGAGTTTCTCTAGATGATGAAACAAGGACTGGGTAGATAGAAATCAAGGTTGTAGGTTCCAGTTATGTAACTTTATGCCACCATGTGAACTTCAACCTCCTATTTCTATATTCTGTTACTTTTAGGAAAAAACAGCAGACATATTCACTTTTCTGATATTAGTTACCTAAGATAACAAGTTACATTTTGTGTAAAGGTAAATGGTATAGTTGTTGCAGTGCTTAATTAATCAAGCACTATGTCTTGAGGAAATATGGCAGAGTGTAGATATAGCTCCACCTTTCTTGGCCTTCAAAACAGATGGAGGCGAGGAGTCAGCTTCACACCATTGCAACTTTACCCCCCCCCCTCCCAGGTAAAGAGTCCCCAGTACCCATTGGGTAGGAGGCTGGCTAGGCCCCAGCATCAGACTAGACACTGGGATACAGAAAACTGCAAAATGAGAATCTTCAGTTTGTATTAGCGCCATACATTATCTGGATGATCAACTTAAGGATGATAAGGTGAGGGGCATGTAATATATGTGAAAACAGAGATGTATACAAGATTTTGGTTGGAAAACTTGGACAGAAACCATTAGGAACACCTTAATGTTAATGACAGGGTGACATTAAAATGGATCTTAAAGAAATATGATGGAAGGATGTAGCCTGGATTCATATGGCTTGGACTAGGGACCAGTGGTGGGCTTGTGGGGGAGTGGAGGTATAGATCAACATTTCTTGACCTCATCGCTGGATGGCTATGAGTGGTTGGCTTCAGGCCCCTGGAGAATTACCCTCCCAGAGAAAGAGCCCCCGCACCCATTGGATAGGAGTCTGGTGGGCAAGAGACCTGATCGGGATGCTGTGTAGAAAACACAAATCTCTCCCTGCCGGGAATCGAACCTGGGGCATCCCACCCCAAGGACGAATATCCAGCCATTCTAACATCTTATTCTTGTCAAATCCTCAATTTGCAAATACTATATTACTTCAATATCTAAACTAATTCAGCATACACTACTCCATTAAACTGTTATTAAACTCTTTTTACAGCATTTTCAACTATTATTTTAATACAGCCTGTCCCAAACTGAGCAGATATACCATAAGTACTTCAAAAAGCCCATGAATAAAAAAAGATGCTGTAATAGCAAGAACAAAACTAAAGGACTTGTACAACCTTTATATGAAAAGTAAGACTCAGGAACATAGTGACATCTATAAAGCATATGAAAAGGAATATAATGTAATATTAAAAACCGCAAAAGCAAACTACATTCAGAATATTATAACGAGATCAAATAACAGTCCAAAAATATTGTGGGAATTTGTTAATAGAGAAAGAGGCTCACCAAAAAATACTCTCACTAGTAATATACACTTACAAGATGGAAATAAAATAGTCTCAAGTCCGAGTAGAACACGTAACATATTTTAACAAACCTTCATAGAAACTGTAAATAAACCTATACTTGACAAAAATTTATTACATCCACAAACTAGTAATAACAATATAAGCATAAAAGATTCACTTGTCCTATTAGAAATAAGAGAGACTGAATTGATTAAAGTAATTCAGGGCATGAAGAATAAAAAATCAGGACTTGATGACATCTCGCCATATCTGCTAAAAGAAATGTACACCTTATATAATAAAGCCACTCTTAGAATTGGTCAATGCATCAATCAGAGAAGGCATCTTCTCTTCTAAACTAAAAAAATCAGTAGTCAAACCAAACTACAAAAAAGGGATAAAAGAAGATGCAAATAACTATCGTCCAATTACTCTTGTACCTGCCCTTTCAACAGTTCTGGAAACAGTAATAACTAACCAATTAATAGCATTTTTAGAAAAACACAATATACTTAATAAATCTCAGTTTGGATTTAGGAAAAATAAATCTACTAACGATGCAATTGCCACAATTACTGAAAACATAATAGAAAGTTTGAATGATAAAATAAAATGCAACTGTGTACTATCAGACTTATCAAAAGCCTTTGACTGTATTCAACATAACATTCTCATGGATAAATTATACAAATATGGAGTTCGTGGTATACCACATAAGCTAATCAAATCCTATCTCAGAAACAGTACTCAACACATAAAAGTAACACACACAGAAGACAATCGTATGAAAGAATATTTGTCAAGTAGCCTCCCAGTGAGATACGGAGTCCCCCAGGGATCGGTCCTTGGCCCATTACTTTTCATCTCGTATATAAACGATATCCCACATCTAACACAGGGCAGATGCTGATGTATCCTGATGACACATCAATACTGAATGTAGGACAAGATATGAAAGAGCTCCAAAACACGACTTCAAATAATACAGGAGTGGTAGAGCAAGACTTTGAGACAAATAATTTATTTATAAATCCATCTAAAACTCACTATATTCTCTTGCAGACAAAACAATGCAGGCAGGAAAGTAATCTAAAAATCCTAATAAAGAACAGGGAAATATCAAATGTAAAAAGCACAAATTTCCTGGTGGTAGTAATAGATAGTATCTTGAGCTGGGAATTACATATTGACATATTGAAAAAACCTGCAGTAGAATTAGCCATAACCTGTTCATAATTAACAGGCTATCTAAAATACTCAATTTAAATGAAAGAAGAATGTATTATGGTTTCATCTATCCTCATCTATCTTATGGAATAATAGTATGGGGACATAGTGCTAAGACCATCACTAGAAGAATTTCTGTACTCCAGAAAAGGGCAGTAAGATACATTGCAGGGCTAAAGCATCAGGAATTGTGCAGGGATAGCTTTAGAAATCTAAAGATACTAATAGTATACTCACTATATATACAAGAAACAATCCTATATGTAAAAAAAAAAGTGTAACTGCACAGTGAATGAACAAATACATACATATAACACAAGAAATAATAAAGACTATCATATATATGGGCACAACTTAGAACTTTATAATAGTAATCCTTCAGTAGCTGGCTGTATCTTTTACAACAAACTGCCTAACAACATAAAAGAAATAGAAAACAAATATCACAAGGGAATTTAAGTTACTTATTCAGAGGTGCTATTACTCAACGGAGGACTATTTGAACGATGAATTCTCGAATAGTGGCTACTGAAATAAGCAGAAATACTACATAGTATAGTATGTATAAAATGTTGTATATCTTATAATTTTTTAGTATTAAGATTGTTGTAATTTAATAATGTATATTAGCTGAAAGACTTGTCCTATATCATTGTATCATGATCTATAGGATTAATAAAAGAATGAATGAAATCTGAAAGTTGTGTCCATTTCTAGTGGTGCGGCACATAACCTTAAATGTGACACGTATCACTTACACTTTCCGGCTTTCCAAGCGTTTTGGCCATCAGTGCAGTAGTTTGCTTCAGAAAGTCTACAGTGACTTTATTTTTTGGAATGTTTGTTTCCAGGCGGAAGTTTGGCATTTCGATATCTCAACACAGAAATGACTAAACATAAAATTTCACCCTAAAACACAAAAACGATGTACATATCACAGATGAGTAAACACAGCAAACATTGTCTATATATTGTACTCATGCACATTGTTACAATTGGCGACATTGGCGACATCATAGATGATCATAGGATCATAGATCGAGGTACGTTTTCATATGCCTGGCATCACTTGCAGTGCTTGAAGCAGAGCACATCAAGTTAATTTATTCGTTTATGTACCTGTATCAGCTTCCAGGTATCGTGATGTCACAGTTCACAAGGGAATTGAAGAAGATACTTATTCAGAGGTGCTATTACTCAATGGAGGACTATTTGAACGATGAATTCTCGAATATTGGCTACTGATACAAGCAGAAGTATATAATGTATAAAATGTTGTATATCTTATATTAAGATTGCTGTAATTTAAAAATTTATATTAGCTGAAAGACTTGTCCTTTATCATTGTATCATGATCTACAGGATTAATAAAAACTGAATGAATGAACGTCTGTGACGAGATATGTAACAAGTAAATAGCAACCATACGAGCCATACGACAATGATACATGTCTCTTAAATCATTCGTAAGCATATTGGGGAACTGTCTTCTGAGATATGACGTCATCGGTTGGATGTTTCGGAAGAAGGTACTGTTTCCATCCACATGATCGGAGAGTGTTCGAATAGGCAGCAACAAATTCAGTAGTCGCACTTCTATCGGTATTTTGCATGTTTAGCCTTTGAAAGTAAAACTGGGCATAAGAATGCCAACAAGCACTTTTTAAAGAAATCTCGGTGTCTTAATGTATGCACCGTCCACCGTTAACGTATGCTCAGTATGGACGGTGAACGAAACTTCTTGGTGTTGCAAATCTTATGGTTGAAATCATGGGCTGCTGATCTCGTTATTAAGTACCTAACTTTACTTCATTTGGATCCTATCTTCTCGCACAGTGATCCAAATGTCACTATCATTCTTCCCCTCCCACCCCTTCCCGACAAAACCAAAAGGGGCGGGTCAGTGGCTGGAAATTGTAGTTGCTACCGTGGGACGTCAATGCAAAATGTTTAATTTCGTAATAGATATATTAAAAGTGAGATACAGAGCTTTGACCCTGAGCTGTTTAAAATATGTTGCCTCTGTTTCTCGAATTTCTTTCCACTAGTTTCATTTAAATGTTCCAATACAATCGGTGTTACCTTCAGTTTGAGTAATCTTAACTCCAAAAATTCTGTTGCTGTTAATAAAGATATGCAGTTCAAGCTCTTTACATCCTTCACTTCTAGGATTTGTGACATTTCCTTTTTCCCCCTTATGTTCCAAAAAGGTGGGCCCATGCTATTGTACGGTGACCGCAAGGTAACCCAAGACGTTTACGATTGTATGCTATTTACCATGGAAGTAAATTATGACTTGTGAAGTCATTTTCCCTCCTCTAAATATCATCGCTGCTACTCGCATGTAAATTTTCACGTATTCACAATAGTGACTTAAAATTCTGGTCCTCTGGATTGTGATGCTGTATATTCTTGTAAGCGGATATCCGTATTTCGAGGGAACATGCCGCTTTAATCTTCAGGGTTGACATGTGTAGGTACAAGCGAGTCATTTATATAACTAGGTTACAATGAATGTAGTCGTAAGTTCCACGCAGACGACTTTGAGAAATGAGTCCTGTTTGGGCCATTAGGGCGAGGGCACAGCAAGGAAACTGGCTACCGTAATGCAACCGCAATTTCAGAGATATGTTCCGATTTCAAACAGGCAACTGGTTTCCATATTAGCAGGCGCACACTGTGGAACTTACGTTTGATTAATTGCTCACATTATCTCAAGTGGGTATTTGTGTTATAAATTTCGTCCAGTTTATAAGAACAATGCATAGGAATGGATATTATCAATAAACAATACAATAGCAATAATAAAATATCAACCAATGTATGTTACATCACTCACACATCAAAAGAAAAACTGCAGAAATATCTAATATGCATCAACAATAAATGGAATAAATAACTTTCTCAGAAATATATTAAATAACTACTATAGAAATAGATACATATATTCATAAAACAACAAGAGACTGTACGTTAAACTAAATAAAAGTCACAGGAGGTATGTATGCAGATCTAAAGTAGATGATTATTTAAATATTTTTAGTTAATAGGACCTGTCAAGGTTAATTTTAGATACTACGAATTTATAAGAACCAAAATTACCCCTTGTGTTCCATTCATAATATTCATTTAAAGAATAAAATGAACCAGCAAGAAGAAACTTTTTTAGAGCCTCTTTGAATTTAGTAATTATTTAATAGATTCCTGATGCCTTGTGGTAGATTATTGAATACCCTAATCCCTGAATAATATAGAACCTTCTGCACGTTAGCTAATTTATTCATTGGAAAATGTTGTTGTTATTGGAGAGGGTGGGTTTCCCCATGCACTTAGACCAGATATTGTTCCATTGTACGTCCCCCTGTGATATTCTACCAGTCTCTATATCCTACCGGTACTGGTGCGTGCCATCAGTCCCGATTCAGCCAGCGAGTTCGGCCTCTACTGGCTCAGCGGTATCTCGATGCTTTCCCCATCTACCTGAATTTTTTTCCGCCCTTAAAAATTGCACGACCTCCGCCGGGTTTGAACCCGCGTACCTTGAGTCACGAGGTGGGAACATTACCCCTAGACTACGGAGGCCGCTAATTGGAAAATGTAAGTCAAAGCCATGTCTAGTGTTAATGCTGTGTAGAGCAGAATTAAATTTAAATATATCTAAATTCTTAACTACAAAAATTGATACAGAAAATATATACTGAGAATATAAGGACAGAATATTTAATTGCCTGAACAATGGATAACAAGAGCCCTTATTTCTTGCCTTCATAATAATTCTCACTATTCGTTTTTGGATTTTGAAAATTAAATTACTATGAGTCGAATTGCCCCAAAGTATCATTCCATACGACATAATGGAATGTACATTTGTTCTTTCCATGTTAAGGTATTATTTATTTATTTATTTATTTCATATCATACCTATCTAATACCTATCTAATCATATCTATGATTAGTCCTAGGAATTTTGTATTAGAAGTGTTTTTAATTTGAACATCCTTATAGTTTACATTTATGTTTGATGTAGTAGTTACTTTTGATAAAAATGCACATCCGACATAATGTATGATTGTATTTTTTAACTTCATCCACATATCATCTTCAATGGAAGATGGTAATATGGTAGTAATCGAGACCGGTTCAGACGGCGTGAGAAGAGAGAGCGACGAACATAAGGAAAATATTGGGGTGTTAATTAATTTGTTTTAATTACGGTCAATTTATTTTAATCGGAAAATATAACGTTCACGCGATACGGATGGAGCAGCAGAAATTGAGGAAACTGCGTTACCGTTTCCTTAATTTGCGCTGCTGCGATCAGTAACACGTGTTCAATTCAGACTGATAACAATTCTCGGAATTTGCGGTTGTCAGTTTCTTTGTGTGCCCCCGCTCCGATATGTAGAGGTAACTAGAAACACGGATCACGATTTGCTGTACGTGCCACATTTCACGGAATATATGCCGCTGAGCACATACATACTCTGAGTGAATCGTGTTCACGAGTATATCTCTTCTCTTGGTTACCATTGGTCGAATTGTGTTAAATTGTGATTGGTTGTTCCTGTGAGTTCCTAGCCGAAAGGCATTGGCTGGTTTGAATTTAATAGGTATATGATTTTACCGGTCAGTGCTTTGAAGGTTTTGAATAGAAAGGAAGTAACACTTCAGAATTTATTTATACAGGAGGTAAAGAATGGCCCTAGGTTTAAATGTATAAGTTAGATAATACGTAATAAGTAATAGTGCGTACAGACTTGTTTTATAATTATAGTATTTATTAAGTAGTTGAGTTCATTTAGGTAAACTAAACCCAAAATAAGTCCTTCCTGTTGCAGGTATCTCAGCTTAAATTCTGTTGCGCTCACAATGGAAGACTTCTTGAAAATAGAAAAAATAGGTGAAGGTAAGCAGGAATTTGAATCCAAATTAATCTCCACAGTTATTTGTAACTGCTTGCCAGGTGATATACCCTTCCAGCTATATTCTTAAAAATCTGCCAATGGACCTAGCTAATTTATTCGATTTTTACATCTATTTCTCTAAACTATCCTTCAGCATATACCTTGGCCTCCCAAGTGGTCTCATCCCTAGTGTTTTTCTGACCAAGATTTTAAAGCACTTGATCCCTGTTGGTACACCCATTTCATCATTTACTTAATCACACAAAAATATCAAAAAGAGTTATCAATTATGAAGTTACGCATGTGATTTTGTTCATCTTCCATCAGAGTCAAGAACCGAGTTTCACATCATTTGTAGCAACTGTAAGCAATGTGCAGGACATATTTCTGTGTTGTACCTCCTCAAGTACACTTGGAAATTTACTGAAAAAATGCGAAAGTAGTGTTGTGAATGTTATTACACGGATCTAATGATTATTCGTGTGCTTAATTTTTATCTGTTATAATAAATTACAGCTACTTTTACACAGCAGATGTATTCATCACGGAGTGTGTTTGAATAGTGGCTGTGTGCTCGACTCATATTCAGGAGGTGCTTGTAGTTTGAGTCTTGGCTAGTACACCAGCTATCATTACTGAGGTGTTCTGTGTTTTTTCCTGTGTACTTTCGTGATTCTTTGGCAACCCACTTCCTTCCAAAATCATTTTCAGTTCATTTATCTCTCCCGCCATTCTGGGCTATATACTCATGCTGTTGACATCGTATTTATGCTAGAATTTAGTTACACGTTTTGGAAGGTGTATCAGTGTTTATAAATTACAGTTTCTAATAGGGCTATAGTGTGATGATATGGCCTTTTCTATAAGTTACCTTAAATTTATATACCATTTAATCATGTAATTTCACAACTGGAAACCAACTGTAACATTTGGGCTCCTACTAATCCACAGTTAGTAACAGGTAATATATCACATCCAGAATGTGTTGCTATATTTGATGGGATGCATGACTGTGTAGTAGAGTTCTGAAAGGCCTTTTATGTCCCGAATAATCGCAGTATGCAAACAGCAGATTTGTTCAGGGTGCTGAATATGAAGCACAGTGTACTTTACTCTGATTGATTAATAAATTGATCCTTAGATACTATGCAATGCAGAGCAGCATAGATTGTTAGCAATGGTGCAGTAATTTTTTTTTCGGTTCTGTAGTTTTACACAAGATTTATTCTGGAAAGTTAAAATAGTTGTCTTTCAGGGACATATGGTGTTGTTTATAAAGGAAGGAATAAGAAGACAGGTCAAGTTGTTGCTATGAAGAAGATCAGACTGGAAAATGAAGATGAAGGCATTCCATCAACTGCTCTTAGAGAAATATCACTTCTCAAAGAATTGCGACATCCTAACGTCGTCAGGTATGTAAGAAAAATTATGTTTGATCTACAGAGCAGATTTTTCATTTTATTCTCAGCTTGAATGAGATTGGTATATTAGTTTCAGTGAAGAAAGAAATAAGAACATTTTTATTATCACATATGTTAAACGAGATGCATGTGCTTGATGTTTTGCAGTCATTATTGAATGTGTAAAACTTTTGTATTTTCTAATTTCTGCTGATAAAATGGGAGCCTTTCTTAATTGCTGGTAAAAGTAATCACTTCTTGATACCTGATTTGTTTTGTAAGCATCCTGATTTTATAACATAGTATGAAATATTACCCTGCAGTGGTTACCACTCCTTCATATTCAGAAAATTCCAGGTTCAAACTGAGGCCTGGATACCATATATCTGTGGCTACTTTCAAGATCAGTGTTGTGCAGCCATACTTTCTCATAGTGTATCTTGGTTCTTTTGTTTGTAGTATTGTTTGGGGGGTCATTCCATTGCTCAGGCAGTTAGTCACTGGCTTCCCACTGCAGGGGCTTGGGTATCATCCCAGATCAGGTCATTTGGGATTAGGGATAGACACAGTCACTCTGGGGCAGGTTTTCTCTGAGAACTTCAGTTTCCCCTACAGATTCTCATTCCTCCAATTGCTCCACATTCATTAATCACCATTATCAATGCTATATGGTTTCAATACTGACAGCATTGTTAAATAGCAAACTTAAAAAACAAAACATTTTTATTTCTTATTCGGCTCTTAATTTGTGAGTACTGTTTATAATCAGTACATTGCTACTACTGGACAACATTTACTTTTTGACTGGTATGAAACACAGAATGCTGCTAATTCCGTAGCTTGGATGTAAGGAAAGAGGGAAATTCTCATTAATGGCTGTACNGACTTTTATACCAGTAGTTATCCAATTATTATTTTTACACTTATCTTGTATTGTAAATTAAATTCCTACACCATATATTTACTTCAGTGAACGTTGGTCGTGTGATTCTCTTTTGTGAGGATGACAAAGTAGAGACAGTCATATGCAAAGGTTAGGAGAGCAGATGAATAGATAAAGATGAAAAGTGTTAAAACATGTGAATTATGCATTAGGTGAGTAAATGTTAAGTATTTGCATTTGGAGTGCTGTCAATCAGTTTTCTCTGTAGAAGGAGGTTTCTGAAATTTCATTCTTTGCATTACAATGTCGTACCACTCCACACTCGTGTTTATTGTTTTGTGATGTTCATATTTATGTTGCAATATCAGTGCTGATGTCATGCAACTGGATACTTTCATGTGGCTTGTCATGCACTGTAGGAGCATGGAGGGTTAGATACTTGCAGCTGCAGATTTTGATCTATAGTCCATTCGCGGAGACGAGACAGTTAGCGTAAAGAAAGCAAGCCCCGAGTCGCCACAGCTGACAGCAAGGAGTGGACAAAGTGCGCAGTTACTCAGTGTACTCACTGCATTCAGACGCACGTTAAGCTGCATTCAGACTGAAGAGTGAACTTTGGACGCCCCTGCAATGATACACGCTTCACGTGATCGCTGCATGTTTTCATTCAAAGAGCCAAGGAGATACCACGTGCATTTGTTTGCGAGTACTCTCTCGTCTCCGCGAATGGACTGTAAAATGATAAATTACATCCTATTTCCTGAGTTGAAGGCAATGAAAATCGCTAGTGGCAAGGAGAACTCAGTTATATTGTCAGAGGAATAACTGGAAGAGTTTCGGATATGAGCATTTCAGAACAAAGATATTAGATTCGTGTAATAATAGTGAAATACTGTGGAAGATAATGTGTTGATTGATGTTAAATGATTAAGGCAAGGACAGTGGTTTTACTAATGAATTTTGAATGGGAAAGGATGTCAGTTTGATGGAAATAGAGGATACTTTTCACTGATGAATATGGACTATAGGCTGCCGTGAAGGTAACAAATGATATTTTGGTAAAATGTTAATAATTTGTAAATAAAGTATTGGAGGTACTGTAACAGATGAACTGTTTTGTATTAACACTTCATAAAATGGAGGCTGGAGGTATGTTCAACCTCAGGTCTGTTTTTTTTTCAGCCTCGGAAACCAGTGAAAATGGTTAATATTTATGTTGTGCTTGGTATATTTATGTACTAATGGCCATACTTACGTGTGTTTTGTGGACTACCACATGAATTACTAAGTTAATGTAAAACATATTGCCGTATTTTGCACGTATGAACAGAATTTGTCTGCAGAAATTGAATTCAGTTTGATAATTGACATTGTAGAAGTTAGTCATTTTAGTCCAAACAAGCATTTGTATGACTTTAAAGCCCTGTCTCTGCCATCAGGTTATTAAAATTGATTTAAATCTTATGGTGCTGTGAGGTTATTGATTCAAGAACTTTGTTACTGGCTTTCGGATATTTCAATTTTAAATTATCTAAAATGATTCTCTACTGTCCTTTGCCAGGGCCAGGATAGTGCAGTCAGCATAGTGACTGGCTACAAGCTGGATGGCTGAGGGGTCAGAGTTAAAATCCCAGTAAGGGCAAAATATTTCTCCTCTTCATATCCAAACCGGTTCTGGGGCCCACCCAGGCTCCTATCCAATGGGTACTGGAGCTCTTTCTCCAGGATAAAACAGCCAAGGTGTGAAGCTGACCACTCACCTCCAACTAGTGAAGAGATCAAGAATACATGGNCCCCCTCCCCCCCCCCCCCCATAGTGTGTAAATAGTTAAGTACAGGGATAAATTTAGTTTTGCCTTCTTGTCCTTTGTCTTAATCAGATTTCATTCTTGTGCTCTTGATCCTTTGTATGCAGCTTCATATTGCTGAAAGATGCTTATAAGCATTGTTTTTCTTCTGGATCTTTTTAGCATTTTCATCCCACATTCTTAACCCCTCCCTGGGCTAAGTGCTACTATGCACCTACCATTCTTATTAAAGTCATTAAATGTTTGCACTTTGTTTTAGTAACGTCTGCTCCACAATTAACTAGGTCCTTCAATAGATGGTATTTTATGTATAGTGAATTCTCCAGTTATCAGCAGTAGTAGGGGTGAGAAGTAGTCTAATACGAGTAATTAAAAATAACAGTTAATCAGAAAATCTGAAAGTACACTGTACATGCTGCATTCAGTCCTGAAAAGCATATAGAACACTTAACACTGTATGTCTACTGGGCTTGCTGTAGATCTCTCAGCAGTGAGACAAATGCCTTTTGAATACAAGAAAGAAATTCTTATTCAGGTGGTAGAATAGAAAGTTAGAACAGGATGATTAGATGCACAGTTATTGCAAACAATTATAAAGCAGCCCTGGAACTGATGTAATGGGCAACACTTAAATCATTGCCAGAGGCTATAATCAATAACTAATTCATTCTAAAAGGTTTGAAGTTAATCCTCAAAGCAGATGATCCGAACACGGATAATTGAGAATCTGCTGTACAAATATATAGAGACATTCATTCCCTTACAAGTGATCTTGTTACTACAAGGTACTTGTTTCTGGAGTGTGATGTCATCTACTGGGCAGCATTTCTTGGATAAGAACATCACATCCAGCAATTGGAGCTTATGGCCATACTCCAGAAATGTTATCATTAAAACCACTCATCTACTCTTAAGAAAAGTGGAAGAATGCTCAATATCCAAGAGCTCTTCACACCAATATAACAAATTCGGTGACACTTGTTGAAGTTTACCTCTGATTTCTGTAATAGAATTCCAGATTTTGATCTGTAAAGCCCACAGAGTTCTTGGATCATTTCTATAGGTTCCCTAAAGATTAAAATACAACACATTCCAATATGGGGAATGTGACAGCATGGATCATGCATTCAAATGACTGCCTTAATAAAAATTGTGCTCTTCATTTCCTTGAATCATTGCATGTTTATTCTTGTTAATAGTCAGCTTTTTGCATATATTATCTTTGTGTGTAACCAGAAAGCAATGCATGTTTCTTGTTTACATATATTTTCAGCAGGACATTACACCTGCACATGATTATGATGTATTGAGATTTTAGGCAACTTTATTTCTGGCCGAAATTTGCATGTTTACAGTCTTGAAGATGTACTGATGGAGGAATCCCGCTTGTATTTGATCTTTGAATTCCTCTCAATGGATCTGAAGAAGTATTTGGATTCTCTTGGACCTAATAAAGTTATGGATGCAGATCTTGTAAGATCATACTTATATCAGGTAAATCTCAAGATTTCAATACCATTACAAGCAAGTTACACTTCGCAGGTATCGGTCATGAACGATGTGCCATATTTCACATATGTAAAGCTCAAACTGTTTGAATTCTTGCCACAAGCAGTGATATTTGAATTCTCAATGGTTTTCCGGCTAATGGCAGATTTAAGCATGATGACTCTGAAATTGAACCAGCAATATTCATGCGAATCCAATATTAAGTTCTTTATGGTGCCTGCAGACAAGCTTTGTACTATGTGGTCAAGCCATGATAAGAGATAAACTGAGGGCTTTGTCCTCATATTATATTTTTGTCCATCTAGTTGTCATTGTTGTCATTTACTGAAATATATAATTACAAGTCTGTCTCCTCAACTTCAAATTATGTAAATATAATGTGGCACTAAGGTGTAGATAATAATATGAGTATGGCAATATTTCTTCTTTGGGATGGTTATTACAGGGTTGTGAAAATATTGAATAATAATTCAACATTCTCATTGTTGTTGACTATCTGAACTGGAGTTAAGGATTTCTGTAAGCCTACATAACCTCTTCGTCTTGCAACAGACCGCTAATTAGGAGTCACACTTTACAAATAAAGAGTCCCAGCCACTATTTTTTACTTTGAGGTCCCACCAGATTGTGCCCATATTTCACTGCATCTGCATAACTGAGAATAAATGCAATGACTTATATCTGACAGGAATAACTGACTAGCACAAAAGTCACTTCAAATCTGACATTCTTAAATTTATGTATATTTCATTACAGGTTCTAAATAGTACAGTTGGATTACACACAGCCATTTGAGGTTCTGCACATAAGAAATGGTTGTGAAGCCACTGTTATACTTGGGCAGGCCAGAAAGTAAAGGTCATTTGGCGATAAAAAAAAATATATTTGACATCATTACTGCAGACCTCTTCCCCCCCCCCTATAATCCTCAAGAAGATTCAGCACTTGTGTCGTGTGATGAGTTTCTATGTGCCTGCATTGTAGAAATTTGCTGCCAGTCCGTCAAACAAGTCTTTATCTCCCCCGCCACTTTTTCATCACTACCCATGCACGTGCCACCCAAAAATTGTTTCAAGTGTGTGTTAACAAGTGAGTATCACTTGGAGCCAGGTCTGGATTGTATGGTGGATGAAAAAGAATATGTGCACAAGATTTTTACTTTCTGGATGACCCTTTTACTTCTCTGCATAACTGTAAAACATGTTATGTTAGTGGCATGTAAACTGTACATGAAGCCATAACTGTTTAATTTTCTAACCCAGTTAAATGAATATGTGTAATATACTGTGATCATAATGAAAATAACTGTAGCATACATGGATAGGATCTGTACCATCTGTAGTTCCTGTGTTTATAATGTTACAATTGTAGCATAGGTTCTTCTCATGTTCAACACAGTCAAAAATCAAGATCACAGAATGCACTCACAAAAAAGGAAAAGGTGTTAGTTTCTTTGAGTTTAGTGTATGCTTCTCTTCAGTGTTGAAGAAATTGCTCTTCCTGGTAGTGTAGATGGTTGAGGCACTATGTTACAAGGCAGAAGGTCACAGCTTCAAATACTGATGAGGTGGATTTTTCCAATTTACTTAATCCTCCCAGCCACACTGTGGCCCTGGGGTCGACTCAGCCTCGAACAGGAATGAGTACCAGGGATCTTCCTTGGGGGTAAAGGGTGGCCGGCACATAAGGCTAATAACCTTACCACCCTCTTTGAGCTGATTATCTAAAGAAAATTGTGGGAGCCTTGACATCTCACAACCCTATGGGCCTTCATGGCCTGTTTGAGGGATGGCTTCACATTTTTACCTTTACCTTCCTATTTCACCTTTTGGGGAGCTATTGACTTCATTAAGGTAAAGTTGTTCCTGTGCCTATCCGATCTAGAAAACTGAGATTAATGGCCGTGGGCATTCGTTGCGCTGACCATGCAACACCCTCTATCTGCTGAAGTTGGCACTAACTTTGCTGACAAGCAGTGGTCACTCGGTCGGTATAATTTGCTTACAGAATAAAAGCATGGATTTTTTTTTTCTTTGTCCCTGTGCATAGTTCTAGAGTATTACACCGTCATCGAAGGTCACTAGAAGGGGAGACTGTGTAAAGAGTGGAATGACACTGTACAATGCCATGATAAACCAGCCAAGTGATAAAATATGTAATGAAACTATCTATTTGACTGATGAGGAAATTCAGAGGATGTTACATGATGTATATTTCTTTAAACTTTAAACCTCTCACCTTTCTTTCTTTTTTTATTTTTTATTTTATGGACTTGCTGTGTACTTGTTTCAGATAATAAAAGCTGTACTGTTTTGCCACCAGAGACGGGTGATACACAGGGATTTGAAACCTCAGAACCTTTTGATAGACAAGAATGGCGTCATCAAAGTAGCTGACTTTGGACTGGGCCGTGCATTTGGCATACCTGTAAGAGTCTACACACATGAGGTTTGTAACTGAGCAAAATATTATATGATGTGGCAGGGTGATACTTAGGAGACCCTGACTTTAATACTGACTGGTGTATGTACGGGGAGCGTTCCATATATAATGCCTCCTATTTACTTTAATGAAAACTACAACAGATACAGAAAGCATAATAACAGTTAAATGAAGCAAGATTTCAGCTACTTACAGTTATTTTTCCACATAATCACTACCATTCGTTATGCACTTTTGCCAGCGATGAACAAGAGCATGTATGCCGTGCCCGTAAAAGTCTGCACCAGCAGAGGCTAGCCACTTTCTTACAGCTCCAATGACAGCATCATTGTCTGGAAAATGTTGCCCACATAGTCCATCTTTCATAGGCCCAAAGAGATGGAAGTCTGAGGGGGCTAAATCAGGGCTATAAGGTGGATGTGGTAGGACAGTCCAGCCAAACTTTGCAATGTGCGCGGTGGTCGCCAAACTGGTATGAGGTCTAGCGTTATTGTGTTGCAAACAAAAGGTTATCTACTTCTCTGGCCTGACTTGGAAAATGCAGGCTTTTAGCTTAGTCAGCGTCATCTTGTAGCGTTCAGAATTGACAGCCTCACCAGGCTACAGGAAATCCAACAAAATACCACCCCACCTATCCCAAAAGACCGTGCACATCAGTTTCCCTACTGATGGCTGTGTCTTGAACTTCATTTTTCTTGGGGAATCCGGATGTCGCCACCTCATGGACTGTCTTGGATTCCAGCTCGTAGTGGTGACACCACATCTCATCTCCGGTGATGATGCTGTCCAGAAACTTGTGACCTTCAGCCTCAGACTGGTGCAACAAGTCCTGACAGACTTCCATTCGATGAGTTTTATGGTCCTATGTAAGCATCCTCGGAACCCACCTGGAACAAACTTTGCAATAATCCAGCTTCCCCAACATCATTTCCAATGCATTACAGCTGATATTAAGCCATGCACACGGTTCCCTAGTCATTATCCGCCGATCTGTACGGATGAGCTGATCGAGGCGCTGTTCATTGTGAGGAGTGGCAGCTGAGCAGGAACGCCCAGGGTGTGGTTTGTCATGCACTTCCCTTTCGCCACTGTTGAAACGCACTACCCTCCACCTCACTGTGCCGACATCCACTGTATCGTCTCCCTACATCTTTAGCAAGCGTCGATGGATTTCAATGAGTGCAATTTGTTCGGCAGTGAGAAATTCAATAATACATCTCTCTTTCGTACACACTTCTATGTCAGATGCCATTTTGGTAGACTGCTCTTCTGTCACTATCTGTCGCATGACAACCAAGCTAACAGTACATTGGCGGGAAGGTTCAACCTTTACTACAACAGCACCAACATCCAGCTCAGACGTTACAGATTAACACAAAAAAATAGGAGGCATTATATACAGAATGCCCTTCATAGTATTCTTCAGCTCCTCCTGCCAAAGACCAAACTAAATGTTATAATGTACCTCCTAGCCAGTCGTGATTCTTCATTCATAATCATTGTGCCATTACATGTGACTTCATCAGCTGATACATCACTAAAAATTAACCGCATAGAGTAATGCAGTTTGTAGAAATTTCACAGTGAAAACTATATCTGATGAACTTCAGCAATATTATATTTAAGCATCCTGTTACACTCTACACAATATATGACACAAACTCCCTCCTAAGTGCAACAATTTATTGTAGTTCTTTCGTCTTCCTTTCTTCTACACTACATGTTTCGGCCCTAAATGACCATCATCAGGTGTATACTCTCACATAGTTACTACACTGCACGTAGTTTAAAATTTAAAAAACATTAGTCTTCCCAATTGTTCATTTCTCCGTTGCTAACAGGTTTTGATATATCAGAATGCTTCCCACTGATATCTGTCAGATATGTACAAAATCTTTGTTAACTTACACACGTCAGTTTGATTTTTAAAAACTGTCACTTTTAAAATCTTCAATTTCAGTTTAAAAATTTCTTTAAAATTTTTTTCAAATTTTAAATTCTCAGGGGTACCCACCCTATGTCTATAGTGCACACGTATTAAAGATAAGCAGCGGCACGCATACAGGGAGCCTACACAGAATAATCCTGAACAGTGCTGAAAACAAGAAGTAGCTAGTATTATACACATACAGTGGATATTTTCTTATATAAAGATGCTTACCCAATGAGAAGACATTCTTCATCCCTCAGGAATAGTATTGTAACGTGTTTGGAATCCAGAAGAGTCACTTCTATGGCAATGCTAGGACAGACCGTTGCGTAGGAATTGTAGAATCAACGAAGCAGCGTTTCCCCGGGGGATAGACAATGGAAGGTCCAATGGGTAGCAACCGCCAAGGTTATAAAAGCCCAGCTTCGACGAGAGACAGACCAGCCTCGCGATAGATGCCGAGAGATACAGATGTACTGGCCGAGATATTGTAAGCAGTCATTGTAATACTGCAAGTGCTAACGATTGCAAAGCGTGTGGTTGTATAAGTGAAGAACAATAAAGGTTCTACTGAATTTCAGACCTACGTGGATTTATTTGTTGCGTGACACAAAAAACACGTAACAGTATGTATGTAAGTCAATAAGTAAGTTACAAATGGATATATAACTTAAACAAATAAGAGTACTGATTTGAAGAATGCTTTTATATCTCAACATAATCTCCGTATACATTGAGGCACTTGTCCAATCATTTCACAAGCCCCTAAAAACCAGCAGCATAAAATTCCTTTGGCTGCTGTCGGAACCAGGCAGTGACTTCCCTTTCTACAGCTTCATTGTCAGGAAAATGTTCAGCCGAAAGATGGTGTTTAAGAGGGCCGAACAAATGGAAGTTGCATGACAGGTTACGTTTTCACAAAGTCTGTGCATGATGGGTGCCGCGCATGCTGACCCCACAATACAAAATGCAAAAAATGGGTCTGGCATTAGAGCATCTCCATCGCTACCATGATGAAGGACACGATATGCTAGCCTGAATTGTCACAGATGATGTGTCTTGCTCCAAGGGACTTTCATTTGTTCGGCCCTCTTAAACATCATCTTTCGGCTGAACATTTTCCCAATGAAGCTGTAGAAAGGGAAGTCACTGCCTGGTTTTGACAGCTGCTCAAAGAATTTTATGCTACTGGTTTTCAAGGGCTTGTGAAACGATGGGACAAGTGCCTCAATGTACAGGAAGATTATGTTGAGAAATAAAAGCATTTTTCAAATCAGTACTCTCATTTGTTTAAGTTCTATATCCATTTGTAACTTACTTATTGACTTACCCTCATATATCTCACATAGCAGTCTGTCTTATGTTGAAGAAGTGCTGATAAGACTGTCCTCTTCTGTTTTTACTTATTGCTGCTTCTTAGGTTCTCCTGTTAACTGTTTAAGGCTGCTGTATCGACTCTGGTTATATATTATTCAAACTCTAATCTTCCTCACTAAAGTGCACATTATTTTGACAGGTAGTGACTCTTTGGTATCGAGCTCCCGAAGTTCTGTTAGGATCCTCAAGGTATTCATGTCCCATTGACATGTGGTCCATTGGGTGCATCTTTGCTGAAATGGCAACAAGGAAACCACTCTTTCAAGGCGATTCAGAAATTGATCAGTTGTTTCGCATATTCAGGTAAGAGTGTGTAGTATTTATAATTATGATATTGTATTGCCATCACGTGTATGTAGCAGCTAACTTACTCCATGGAGCTCAGCCCTTCTTCAGAAGCTGCCAGTTGCTCAGCAACTGAAGAATTTCCCAACGTATTATGGAGCCCTAAGGTACATTACCATGTTCACAAGAGAGTGATCCAGTCCATACCATCCCATCCCATCCTGTCTCTCTATAATCCATTTTAATACAGTTCTCCCATCTATATCTAGGTCTTCCTAGTAGTCTCTTTCCATCTGGCTTTCCCACCAAAATCCTATATGCATTCTACTTCCCCAAGTTTGCCACATGTTCTGTCCTGATGTGTATGTAGTACTTATATTAATTGGAATAATTGTAAAACATCTTTTTATATAATAAACTTGTATTTTAAAAGTTCCTCATGCTGTTTCCAGCAGCTGCTTTCTAATGTTTGAAAGGTTTCTACTATCTTGACCATAAATGTGTGTCACTCTTCCCTTCAGAAAGTCGCACGCTGGCTGAATTATTTACGGAATATACATTATAATAGAAAATATTCACAATCATAAGGTAGTGTATTAATATTTTATTCACAAATAGAAATGAAAAGCTGATGTGTGTTCTTCATTCCGAAACTTACTGCCATGTAGAGTACTGCAGCATTACCTGCAATGTCATTATGTAAATATGGCAGGAAATATATGAAAGGCTCAGACAGTATTGATGGAAGGCATTACCATTCTTTGAGATACATTTACAAAGGTAAAGCTATGCCTGTAACAGGTCATGGAGGCCCATAGGATTTTGAGACATCAAGGCTCCCATATTTTCTTGACAACTGACTCACAGATCTGTATGTGCGTGTGCGTGCGTGTGTGTGTATGGCACTACTACCAAGATGAGCAAGAACCCTTACTGTTTGTCAGATTCCTAAGGGAACTGTCATATATTTTTCAGTAAGATGTGAAGTTCCTAATGTGAGAACAAACTTTGGGCATCCATTAAAATGTGTTCAATCTAAGAGCACCTGTGATGCAACAACCTGTTTGGATATGGAGTGACAACCTGTCAGCCTCTCATCAATAGTATGCAGCTCTGTGAATCACATTTGTGTCTTGTTTCTCACACACCTTAGCACTGTAGTGCAGGCAGTAAATTATGATATATTTGTGGTTTATATTCTCTCGTTATCAACGTATAACATTGTTTCTCCCGATTCAATGTGTAAATGAACGAACTGACTCAAATAGTGACACTTCTGACTTGTATTTGTAGGTGGCCATTTTGGCCAAGATACCAAATATTCTGACAGATTTTTATGGATTTCTTTGTTTCTTCCAGGCAGATACTGTGACAGTACCTGAAAGAAGGCTTCTTTCACATTCTTATCGATTCATTATTCACAATTCTACCATTCAGTGCTATACAGCTTGAGCTACAGACTGCTAATTAAGCCATGATAGTTAATAAATAAATAATAACTGTGGTGCATGTCTTATTCTCTCATCTGCAATATATAAACTGAGAAAATTTATTTAAGTGGTAAACACTTCTCACTTATACCTGGGAGTTGTATGGCTCAAATCTTGGCCAATGCACTGCCATCCTGATTGTGGGTTTCTTTTGCAGTACATCCAGGCAAATCCTAAGACAGGAGCTCAAATTAGGGCATGGCTATTTTCTTCCATGTCCTTTCCCATCCATTATTCACTTGTCACTGTGTTCCACTGAGTCCTATTACAAAATGAAGAAACTATAAAATTATATTATCTTGACAAAGGCATAACAAACATTGGTTAAGAAAATTCAACATAACACAGTGATGCTTGCATTATACTTGTAATTGTGTGAAGTGTCAAATGGGATGTGTTTTGGTTTTCAACAAACAGCCAATATTTTGGAGGAACATTCTTGTACAATGACAGTTCTACCTTGAATCTGCAGGCATCAGATTCCTCCAAAATGCTAGTACTTATTTACAGTTACAGTGAAACCTCGATTCACTGTTTTCATCAGGGGTCCTGAAAATAAACGATAGATGCAGGAGCCTACATAAAATGAATAAAAACGTAGACCAGTGATATAAATTCCACTGTGAAGTCCAATTTACATTACTTCTTTTTAAAAAAAGTCTTTAATCCTCATTTGTTTAGTAGCACCTTCCCTTTTCAAACTGAATAATAACAGTGAAGAAAGCAGTCTTCTGGGATTTTGCACCATGTATATGTGGTGTTAACCGACGTTTCAGAGGAACGTATCGCCTCCATCTTCAGGGTAGAAGAAAAAATATATAAGAAATCTGCAAGCAAAGAGACCGTGAGAACCGGTAGAAGCAGACTGGAAAAATACCCAGCTATAGCTGCTTCTACCGGTTCTCACGGTCTCTTTGCTTGCAGATTTCTTATATATTTTTTCTTCTACCCTGAAGATGGAGGCGATACGTTCCTCCGAAACGTCGGTTAACACCACATATACACGGTGCAAAATCCCAGAAGACTGCTTTCTTCATAGTCACCGCCGTGAAAGCCTCAAATCTTACATTGAATAATAACATTTCAATATTAATGACGTTTGCTTGGTCTCTTTTGGTGATGTCTTGAGCATACATGAATGCTCTGATTGACTCAAATGAAGCGCTTCCGTAAAACTCAGCACTGGTTTGGACTTGGTTTCATCGTCATCATAACCACAATCACCTTGCCCTTCTATGCAACTCCTACTGCTTACCATACCACACGTCTTCCATACAAAGCACCAGCCCATTGTCTGGTAGGTAAGATGCACTCAAGGTCACAGCCCACAACTGGTGTAAGAGCTGAAACTGCAGCTTGCTACACCACTTTCAAAAGTATCAGCTGCTGTTACTACTAACAATGTGTACTAACATTTGTGTGTGGTGTTGCTCCTTCATAAATACAATCAATCCAAGATTAACATTCTTCGGGACTAAAAATCTGACCCATAGATGCGGGAAAATGATAAATTGAAGAATGATTGATACAGGTTTTATTTCCATAGCTTAAATAGGCTTTGTTTGGCACCACACAAATTGAACGATAGATCCGGGAAAGTGATAGATCGAGGTTTCATTGTACACAGAAGAATGTAATCTTTTTTGTGTGAGTTTGGAGATACAAGAAGACTCAACGAAACCCCGTATGACTGGATGATTTTATTTCTAAGTCCCAAAAAAAGAATATCTTCGGAAGTTAAAAGAGCTTCAGTTAGCCATAAACATGGCCTTGAAAATAAGGTATGAAATGTGGTGGTATAATGCTTGTGAACTCCCCAGCAGTGATATTCCTGCACTGGAGCTCAGATTAATCTGTGAAGACACAAATCATAAAATGGTATAATGAGTAACTTTTCTTATCCCTTGTATGATTTGTCAAACTTTATATTTTAAGTTTCCAGCTTTGTTTATTAGCTTTTTAGAGGGTTTGATTTGTTATGAATTATCTCAAGTTGATTTGGGAGTTTCTTACTTTATTTTGTCCACAATAAGATTACATATTTCTTATATAACATATCTTGTCAAGTGACTGTATTGTCCTGTTACGTGTTACTGTTAGGCTGAGTTGTTCTGTGTGAGGAAGTTCAGTAGTTGCATTACTACACAATGTGTAAATATTCTAAGAGAGCTTCATAAATATAGTCAATCTTTTGCAGGGTCTTGAAGACACCAACTGAAGAAATCTGGCCTGGTGTGTCTCAGCTGCCAGACTACAAGGCAACATTTCCAAACTGGATTCATAATAACTTGACCGGTCAAGTAAGAAACATTGATGAAGATGGACTTGATCTGTTACAGGTAATGAGTAGGCTGTATTTTGTAGACTTCTCTTACTGGTGTACATATTAGAAAGCAAAGTTTGCTGGAGACTAGCTACATTTTGATGTTTATTTTAACTTATATTATGAGAAGACTTTTTTATAATAATAGTTTCAAATAACTATTCCCTAAACTGCTGAAACAGAAATGTAAATCAAGTGATGTGATAAAAGAGGACTATCAATCTTTAAGAAGAGTGAGTAATTATCATGTTTAATGTTCTCAACATAGGTCAGCATTTTAGTATGTCATGGAAGGCGTTCCAACATCAAAGACCACCAACACACTACACATCATAAATCATTGCTAGAAGTAGCAGACAGCTTGTCATCAATTACAGTTTTTATTAAAAAAGGATGTGAATGATAAGGACCTTACTGTGTCTGTTAAAGGGGAAACATTCACCTACCACACAAGTATTCATAATTTAAGTTTCAAAGCATGGGATAGCACTTCCAAATAGATAACACAATTTTTTGGAACCAAAATTTGACATGGCAACAATAAAGCCCAAAAATTTGTCATAAATGTAATTTCACCAGTGTGTAATGAAAAACTGCATATAGAGCTAAACATGGCAAACTTAGTATGTACAAGGTGGTTCAAATATGACCGAGGCTGATTTTTCTTTTAAAAACCATAATTGCCAAACACTTGCACGTGTCAGTCTTCAACATACTCCCCCTCTGGAGTCAATACATTTTTTCCAATGTTCTGGAAGCATCCTGATGCCCTTTTCAAAAAAGGCTTGTGGTTGGCAGTGTATCCACTCCCAAACAGTCTGGATGACAGCGTCATCCACAAAGCGCATGCCTTGCAAGTCTGATTTGAGCCTTCTAAACAGGTAGAAATCACTTGGGACCAAATCGGGACTGTACCAGCGGATGTGTCAGAAGGCTCCATTTAATTTCTGGAGGGTTTCCATTGTTTTGGGGGTATGGGGGCATGCATTGTCTTGAAGGAAGACTACCCGCTTTCCACCTGTCTTCTGCTTGTATTGGAACTTTTCCTTCGTGTCTGTTGCCAGGAGGTCTGAGTAATAAGCTGCATTGACTGTTCTGGCATCTGTCAGAAAGTCTACATGGATAACCCCCTGCCAGTCCCAGAAGAACGTTGCCATCACTTTCCTGCTGAACGGCTCCTCTGCTGTCTCTTGGGTTTGGGAGAACTGGTATGCCGCCACTCGCATGATGACTGCTGAAACTCGGGAATGAAGTAGTGTACCCACGTTTCATTGGTGGTCACTATAGACTTCAAAAATGCATCACCTTCGTCTTCAAACTGCTATAGGAGATGACTGGCAGCTTGCATACACACCATTTTGTTCACGTCCATCAATGTGCGTGGTACCTACTGTGCATTTACCTTGCGATAGTGCAGGTGGTATTTCACGATGTCTTCTAAACTACCAACACTGATAAGACAGCATTGCTCCAAGTTCCTTGATAGCGGTGCACATATTCTCACGAATAAGCACATCTGTACAATCAGTGTTTGGCTCGGTGACAGATGTTTGCGGCCAACGATCATGTGGTTCATTCTCCATGCGCACTCTGCCCTCTCTGAAGCACTTACACCACTCAAACACACAGGTCTGTGAGAGATACTCTTCCCCATACTGTTGCCGGAGTCTGTGGTGAATTTCAGCGAACAGGACGTTTTCTCCAACGAGGAATTTGATCACAATGCGTTGTTCCACGCTCCATGGTACCTTCTGTTCGCTCATCACTCTAGCAACTCCCAGACAGGACTGAACATGTTCTACCCCGAACAGGAGGGAAGGTGGGTTGTGGCTTCACTCTCTCAAGGTCGCACAGCTGCTATGCAGTGCGGCTTGTTTACACGCAAATCAGTCCTGGTCATATTTGAACCACCTTGTATTACAGCTGACATTTCTAGCACGTGGGGATGGATTAAAACAGGAAATCAGTTGAAATATAATTGGATACACATCACACACAATGAAACTCTAATGTAACCCATCACATACTACAGATAAAACAAACATGTGTATAGCAACAGCTTGTTAACCCACATAACCTAGAATTAGTCTGAGGCAATTACGTAAGAAAAGCAGAACAGCATTACAGTAAGCGGCAGAGTCCTTCATCACAACAACATGATGGCCACTTACACCGAAACGTATAGTGATGATAAAGAGAAGATGAGAGAATATTAAGCGATGCTGCACCTAGACGGCAAAAAGTGGAATGCAAAGTCTGAGTTATGTTTGATTGTGACAGAAGAAACACTGGAAGGAGAAAGAGACATGAAAAAAATGAGTTGAACATTTTAACAATTTCTGTAAAAAAAATATTTCAGTTTTTAACCCTAACTTATCTTTTATAGCTCTAGTACTTAGAGGTGACAGTCCTCCGACATGAGGTAGGAGAAGTATTGGTAGTGGCAGGGAATGCCATACAGGCGTTCTCAAAAGGAAATAACTTCTTACCTCATTGTGTTGCATAGTGATAGTGGTTTATTCTCGTTGATGTTCACACATCCAATGTTAAGTTTTAAGTGTCAAATGGCAGACTGTTATGCACTATACACTATTATACACTTTTCACTGTTATATACGTGAAAAGTTTATTTACATATTACACGGGTCTATTCTAAAGGGGCAACACCGGCAATGTCCGATTATTTTTTGTTTTCTTCCAGCAGAACCCCAGTTTCAAAATAATTTTCTTTAATGTGGAGATGCATCCCTGAAAATCTAACGTTTTCTTCAACTTTTCGTAAACTTTCTTCAGGGTAGGTCTCTGTTTTTCAGCTATGTAGAAGTCATTAATTGTTCTTCGCACCACTCACTCGTTAAAGTCATCCAAAGTGGCTAGTGGAGATTTCCTAGGTCTTTCTTTAGGGGGTGTCGAAAAAGGAAGTGGAAGCCCCAGATTCGATATTTTTTGTTTCTCTTATTATTCTTCTGACACTACTTTCCGATACACCTGTTGCCTTTGCTACTTCCACTCCTATGTTCTTCACTGTAAATGTAGGCCCAGCCGCTTTCATATACTTTCATATACAATTTCTCTTGATTGTGAATGCAACACTTTTCCATTCAATTTACTTTGTGTAGATGGAATGTTAGAGGAGATAGAAAAAATGTACAAATATAAATAAACAAAAAAGAAAATCAACGAATAAAAATAAACAATAAAATAAAATATTGTCACTGTCACCACTTGACTTCTGGTCCAGTACTTCAATGCGACGTCTCAACTATCTTTGGCCGTGGTTGGATCTCAACTGTCTTCGGCGACAGCTATCCCAGTACTAACTTCTTGCTGTCTTGTTGCCGTCTTCTGTTGTAGCTCTCGGCTTATGTAGGTGTTCTGCGGACTGGATACCAGACACCATTCCCCACTGTTTCGTTTCTATTGTCCGCTGTTACATAACGGGTGCAACGAACTCTCTGTAGTTCATTTCTGGGGAGACGCGTTCGTTGCTTCTGCATTGTCTACACAATGGCTCCCTGTTCTTTGCATTACCATGGAAGTGCCTATTCCATACTCACATGTTCGGTAATCCGTTGCCTCGGGAACGCTCCTTCGCAGCGGTCTGTTTGTATTCAATTTGTCGCTGATGGAACTCATCAATTTTCATTGTAGCCGTTGCATGGCGATAGACATAAGGTAACGCATCACAATATTAATACAGTAATTAAAGAATAATACACTCAAATAAGACTCCTAGAGTCAAAACTTTTTAAGTTGGCTGTACAAGGAAGAATGCTCTTGAGGCAACTACTTGCATTGAATGCAGACGAATGACTAATCACAGCACCCCTCAACTTTCACGAATGGACCTGCCCATCCACGGCGCAGCTTTTCCTGGACCGTCAACTCTAAGTACTAGAGCTTTACTAACCTGGAATATAGATCCTGTTGCATGACTTTCTCGGTTGTGGACAGTATATGGTCCCTGGAACATAGTCACATGTTAAAAAGGCATGATCAAATGCTCCTTGTTGTAAAGTTAATATTGAACTAACATGTCTGGAATTTTATAGAAAAATAAAAAATAACCATACATTTCTACAGAAGGTAGTTCATAGTGAAAAATATGGTTTCCAAAATGTGAATATAATATCTGTACTACAGAAGAACTTAAACAAATATTTATTTGCTACAAATTAACATTTATTATTCCACTGAAAACATGCCAACATGACAGTCACATGCGTAATCAATATCCCGGTTTGGTTGCATGAAAATATGGTAAGCCTATGTTTACATAAACAGACTACTATACATTTCATTTTCACACAACATTAGAGCAAACAGTTTCATGCATATACTGAATTTGGTGGGAATACTGTGCAATACTTCTCACAGTTTTCTTGATGTCTGTAAATATCTGTTGTAGTGTCCATTATAATCTGATATTTTCTCCAGTATCTGACAAATACAGGCTGATTAAATTTGTACCTACATGTATGTTGCAGAAAATGCTCATCTATGATCCTTTATCTCGGATATCAGCCAAAGCTGCACTGCTGCATCCTTTCTTCGATGTTCTGGACAAATCTTCACTTCCAGTCTGAAGTTAAATCTCATAAGTTTGTGAATGACCTCAGTTTGAAGGTCCTTTCTTCCAGGAACTTTCCCTCTATGTTCTGGGTGACTCAGTGCTCCCTGCTAAGCTCTAAGTGAAGTAGGAGATATCTGTAACTTAAAGGCTTACTTGTCAATTGAATATTTTTGCACATTTTAGTAGAGGATGACAAATTTCAGGTACGCAGCTTGTGAAGCTTCTGAAATATATATATAGAAATATTTATTGGTTACAGAGCACTGTGGATTAGGGGAAGATACAATTCTGTGAAGCAATAACTCTTTTCATTTCTTTAGTTTAGTCTTAAAAATTAATTCGTTAATTCAATTTTATTTTGTAATTTTTTCAGTGGTTTTCTTACAATAAAATATCAAGCTCGAAATATTTTTTTCCTCTTAACAAACCCTGTGAGATTTTAGGTCCTCACAACAGTGACCATTGGGATTTCTGGGGTGTCACTATGTAGTTTGGTAGATGGATGCCAATATTCTGGAGGAGCAACTTGCCTTCACATTCAGAATAGAAGACCTGTGCTGAAGATGAAGTCAGCAAATTTCTCTGAAACTTTGCTACTTATGTACCAGACTACATGGCATCATATCCCAGAAGGCCATAAGCCTACTGTCAATTCTATTTTATTGAGGAATGTGGACTATTCAAGCTTTGAAAGATTTTCTTTTTGAAAATCACATTTTTTTTTATGTATATCACTTTTGTATTGAATTTTGTGTATGTAGTTGGTTTTGAGTATATTCTGAGAGCCTGGTTGGGATATTGTAGTCATAGTTTGTTGTTTCACTATTTAAGAAAACATACAAGATGTATGTATAAAAATTACAACACCAATAATAATAAATTTGTGACCTGAAATGAATATTAATATTTCTAATTACCTCCTTATGATTTTTATGATAGTACTGTAGGCGAAAGGAGGAGAACATAGAGGTTCTTCATTGAGCATTCTCCAGGTAGAAACAGTTAATGAACGGCTAGGTTGTCTTGGAACAAACACAAATCAGTACATTTCTAACCAAAGGAAATGGTAGTTTAGGGTTGATTGGAGGATTACATTTGTTATGATATGCTTTCCATATATTGTAATATGGCAGTTGTACCAAATAAGATGCATCCTTTCTCCTAGTAGTAGAACATGCCAAGCAGCAGCACTGAGTTAATATTAGTTTATGATTAACAGTATTAGTGCTATCTGAATCCTGTTTTGTTTTCAGCAATTCTTGCTAATCTCTTGTTTTGTGTCTTTCTTTCTATTCAAATTTGTTAAGCCTATTGATCTCTATTATGCAGCATAAAGCAAATTTTGACTGGTTCATGAACACAGTATTGTGTGGATATACATTTTATAGTGGAGTAATTATGATCAGGAATGGTATATTTTGGGATGAGAAAAGAGATGGAGGAGGTGTGTTATTTGATATCACTGATTCTTACTATTTTCATTAGACGGTAATGACTGAGCAGTGGAAGAAATGACCTCAGTGTAACTTTAACAACTGCAAAGAGCTATTGCAATTAGTTAATAAATGTTAGTAATAATGGCTTTCCTAAGAGGACATTAAATAATCACATATTATGTGGAGCTAACGAAAAAAATGGAGCACCTCCTTACTGAAATACAGTTGATACTGTGAACTGTAAGATACATAGAATACTTATCTTTATGAAAGTTGAAGGTGGGTAAACTTGAAGGGAAATTCTGTTTCCATCAGAGATACCTGTATTCAACTTCGTAGCTTTGCTCACAACTTACACTTAAAAGCTTCACAGAACATAGTCTTGCTGTTACATTGATGTATTTTATTATATTGGCTACATTATTCTGTTCAGTATTGAACTAGTGAACATGTATATATTTCACCTTTTTAAGATTCATTATATTCCTTCAGTTATTTTATTATTTTGGCCATATTATTCATTTAGTATTGAACCCATTAAAATGTATATATTTTTTAATTTTCAAGATTTGTTATATTCCTTCCAGCCAACCTAGGCTCATATGGGAAGCTAGGCTCTGCCTGTAACAAACCAGGACAAATGTGGAGTGATAGAGGAGTAACACCTATTTAAAAAAACCATGGTTTAGCTGGCCTGCCTGATAGTACCATGTAAGGGCCCTTAGCCAGGTATGGTGAAGCCCTCAGTTGTGCCCAAGGCAGAGAAGAACTTCAGAAGGGCAAGGACAGCGGTTGTGGCCACTCTGTACTGCTCAGAGGAAATGATAAACTGCTGTCTTGCAGTCAGAGGAGAGATCACCAAAGACTAAGGGAAGGCTACAACGAGAGAAAATCAAGGCAGGGGTAGCTCTATAGGCATAGTGGAGCCAGAGCCCCTTTGGGAAAAAATCTGTTAACAAATCTCAGTCCTCCAAGGTATGGAAATTGAACCTAGGCCAGCAACCTATCTCCATAAAAGGCCCAGTCACTAAAAAAGTTCAACAAAGGAAAGCCAGCAAGATGACTAAGGCAATATAAATTGTTTAAAGACTTGAAGGTGATTGTAGATAAATGGAACGTGAGGACAGTATTGCAGTTGGGGAAAATGTAAGAAATAGTTGCAGAGATACAAAAAACACAAATTAAGATTTATAGCACTATAAGAAATATGCCAGAAAGGAAATGGAAAGATTACGAAAGGAAGTTATACTTTATACTGTAGGTGCACCCAAGAACAGACAGGGCGTTATGGGACCAGATTTTTAGTGATGAAAGAGGTAATGCCATTTAATGAAAGGATTTGCAAAATAAGAATAGAGGGCAAAAATCACAATATTAGTCTAGTGTATGTGCATGCACCAAATGATAAAGATGATGAAATGAAAGAAGTATTTTATGAAGATCTTCAGAATATAGTAGATAGAATAACTAAGCATGAAATACTATTAATAATAAAAAAAGTTATCCGTGTAACATGCCTTGAAGGACCATAGAGTTGTGAGTCGTCAAGGCTCCCACAGTTTCTCTAGACATCTGCTCACAGATGGCAGTAAGATTGTCAGTCTTATGTGCTGGCTTGTGAAAGTATAAAGATGCTGGCCTCTGACATGTTAGCATCAGTCACGACTACGCTTGCATCCAGAGATCACCACAGCAGTGACTACTAGTACCAGAACTGCAGCCAACTCTGTGAGCCACTCTCACCTCTATCCCGGTGGCTCGCAATCACTGGGCTGCACCAAAGAAGAACATCGGGCTGCTACAAGGAATCACGCCGCACTAGCTAGCTCACTGCCATGAAACTTAAGATAAGTTGCCCTTTTCAGGCCCTCCAATATCACTGGTATTATTCAGACACACTCTGCACTTGTCTGTAATACCCACTCTAAGCGCATTAAACATTTGTTCTTATAGTCTTACATGGTTGTCTCTGTTGACATCGACATCCCACAAAGGAATACAAGATTCCTAGAAAAGTATGTATAATATGCCTTACTACCTTAATGCTCAAGAATACAACAGCTAAAGTTAAGATAAATAATGAACTGTCAGAAAGCCTGATAGTAAATACAGGTGTTAAACATGGAAATCTGATGTCAATGCTAATATTTAATGTGATAATGTATCAAGTCCTGAAATCAATGGATATGAGGGGTAATACATTAACTAGACTAAGACAGGTACATATATGCATATGCAGATGACATTTTAATAACGGCAAGGATAACACAGGCACTGACAGACATTTATTAATTAACACGAATGAAACAAAATATAAGAAATGCTGCAGGAACTAGCTGAAAGAACGAATAGTGGATCTGGATGGAACTTAAATTGAGATTATACAGTCATTTAAATATCTTGGATCAGTGGTAGATACAAATACTATGATAGAAGAAATGAAAGCAAGAATCAGTGCAGAGAATAAAGCTTATTTTGCTCACAGAATGCTTTTTATGCATAACACACTTTCAAAGAAATCTAAGTTTAAACTCTACAAGTCAGTAATAAGACAGATATGCCTCTGAAACGTAGGTGCTTAAGAAAAAAAAAATATACCAATATTTGAAAGGAAGATCATCCAAAGGATCTATGGGCCTACTGTTGACCCAAACGGTGTGAGGAGAACAAATGAAGAAATAAACAGAAATATTGTGAGGTATATAAAAGCCTAGAGACTTGAATGGCTGGGACATTTGGAAAGAGAGAACAACAAGGAAAATAACTTGTTAGAAACCGTCATCAAGACCTAAAGGATGACCTAAGAATAAATGGGAAGATGGTCTACATTGTAGACCACATTCCACTTTCTTCTAGACTCTACAAAACCTTCAAATCATGAAGATCAAGAGCTGGAAGATGCTTGTACGAAGGAAGGAGCAATGGAAAGAAAGTGATGAGTTAGCCAAGACCTGTCTTGAATTGTAGAGCTGTTGCAGAAGATTATATTCCATCAGTTATTTTAATATTTTGGCCACATTATTATGTTTAGTGTTGAACTTCGAAACACAAGTATGTTTCACAGGATTTTGAGGTTTGTCACAGTTTCTCGAGTATCATTATACTATTGAAATTAATAACAAATGGAAACCTCAGCATTACTGCTCCATATACATGATTTATAATACACTAATGTAACTGAAAGCTATGTTCTGTGTAGCTTTCAAGTGTAAATTATAACGAAAATTATGAAGTTGAATACAAGTATCTGTGATGGAAACAGAATTTTCCTTCAAGTTTACCCACCTTCAGCTTTCCTAAACACAAGTATTCTATGTATGTTACAGTTCACAATGACCATCGCATTTTGGTAAGGGGGTGTTAATTGATATAAATGAAATGTTCATACTTGAAGGCACTGGTGAGAAACTTTCTTCCCATAAATAATGTTGCAACCTGATCTCTTGTACTGCAGAGGTTCTTAATCCGTTGTGTGTTTTCTGTTTTTGAACTGAGTTTGATATCACTTCACTCATGCCGCTCTGGATGAATTCAAGTGAAGTGATATTAAACTAAGTTCTGAAACAAAAAAGACACAATGGAGTAAGAACCTCTGCAGTACAAGAGGTCAGGGCTGCAAATTTATTTATAGCTACTATCTTTGTGAACTAGTGATTCTTTGTAAGGGGTCAGTACACAAAGGCGGGGAGGTATGATAGCATACCTTCTTACCGAACGGGTAAAGGCTGGTGGTATGATTAGTATACCTTCTTACCGACCGTGCTCTCGGCACTGGTGGCAGCCACTCAGTATCAACAGACTTGCCTCCGAATATTGAGGCAGCAGTGATGCTCTCATGACGTCACGGTGGCGAAGGTGGCTGTGTAGTCGCCAATAGCATTTTGTTTCCAAGGGCTGAACAAGGTGTACAAGCACGGACCGCACGGACAGAAGGGTTGCGACAGGTTAAGGAGAAGGAGTTTGCGTTGTGAACTACATATCTTACAAATTTGAACGTGGAATGTCTGCTGGGTCGAAGCAGGGAAGTGGTGATTGTGATGGAAATATGAACAACGCTAATAATTCGAGAATAATGGGTGCACTTCAGTATCCTACAGAGGAAGAAAGGAATGTGACATTACAGACGAATCAAACAAGGCAACCACACAGTTTGCAGGATCTGCTTAGGTTTAGTATTGGGGCAACCACAACGGGACACAATGCGTCAAGTTCACAGAACGTACCCGGCCCGATGGACGAGGAGGTAATTGGTTTACGATAATAAAATAATCCATGTGTTCAAATACGTTCATATTATCTGCTTGATAACAATACTTTTTTAAGTCAGATCACGTGTGCAAATACACTCTTCTAATAGTGTAATAATATCACGCACACATGGAGCTAAGCCCTTCTGGAGAAGCCGCCAATTGTGCAGCTACCCAAGAACTTCCCAGCATTTTATGGAACCTGAAGGATCATTACCAAGTTCACAAGAGCCCACCACTGGTCGATATCCTGAGCCAGATGGATCCAGTCCATACCATCCCATCTGATCCGTCTCAGATCCATTTTAATATTGTTCATCCACATACATCTTGGCCTTCCAAGTGGTCACTTTTCCTTATGACCTTAACACCAATATCCTATATTCATTCCTTTCGCCCCCATTTGTGTAGCATGCCCCACCATTCTCATCCTCCTTGACTTGATCATTCTAATTATACTTGGGGAAGAGTACAAGTTATGAAGCTCCAACCTCCTGTCACCCCATCTCTTGTCAGTCCAAATATTCTCAACACCCTGTTCTCAAACACACTCAACCTTTGTTCCTCCCTTAATGTCAGAGACCAAGTTTCACACCCATACAGATTCACAGACAAAATTGTAGTTTTGTATATTCTAATTTTTCTGTTTTTAGACAGTAGATGAGAAAACAAGGTTCTGGACTGAATGGTAACAGGCATTACCAAAATTCAATCTCTTAATTTTCTCCTGAATCAAATTAAGATCTCTTACTGTTCACAGAATTACTGGGGTTTTGGACTTTTTCCATCGTCCAGAATTCTAGGTAATAGAGGACACGACATTTTGGAAACTGGATGTTTTTCCATCTTCAGGTGAGAAAGGAAGACATCTACTCAGTTGGACCTGTTAGAAAGAGCTAATCTCAGTCTGGTCCAGTGATTGAGATTAACTCTTTCTAAGGGGTCCAACTGAATAGGTGTCATCCTTTCTCACCTGAAGACAGAAACAGATCCAGTTTCTGAAATGTTGTGTCCTCTGTTACCTAAAATTCCAGACAATGGAAAAAGTCCAAAACCCCAGTAATTCTGTGTGTCATCCACCATCATCAGAACTCTTTAGAATCTCTTACTGTTCCTAAATATTTGAACTGTGCCACACTTTCAAAGGATATGTTAGCTGTCTTTATGCCATAATTTTGACCTGCACTGTGGTGACTAGAGAGCAACATATACTTACTTTTCTGTGTGTTTACTTCTAGACCAACCTCCTTACTAGCGTCCATTAAAGTCTGTGTGCTTTTCCTTATGGTATCTATATCATCTTATCGTGGTGGTGGGGTTTGAGAGCTCCTGAGACCCTGAGAGCTATGCTGGTGGTAGCATAGCTACTGGTAGCGCCACCCAAGGTCAAGGGGTAGGAGCCAGACAGAGAGGGATACCCTGGTCCTCCAGGTTGGGGGTTGGGCGTGAGGCTAACAACCTCACACTGTAAAAACTAAATTGTTCAGAAATCCGAGGAAAGAATAGCCGGACGGACCTATTCAAGACGACCTGGAAAATATTTAAAGGATTTGAGAATTGGATCTTGGGATGTACTGTCTCTTTACAGAGCCAGAGCACTAAAAATGCTACTGGAACAACTAGATAGCTATAAACTAGATATCACTGCTATACAAGAACTGAGTTGGTTGGTTAAAGGAGTCATGGAAAAGAGGGATCATGTTGTATTCTATAGCTGTCAGAAGAAGAGTCACATGTTTGGAACAGGTTTTATTGTTAATAAAAAAAGGAAGCATCTTATTTTAGGCTTCCAGGCAAAATCTCATAGAACATGTAGGCTATGAATTAAGGGAAAGTTTTTTAACTATAGCCTTATTTGTGCACATGCCCCAACTGAAGATAAAAGTGATGAGGAGAAAGACTCCTTTTATGATGAATTGGATGAAATACATGGCAAATGTAGAAAAATGGATTGTAAGATAATCATAGGGGACATGAATGCCAAAGTGGGGAATGAGGATGTATATAGATCAGTTATTGGAAAACATAGCCTACATAACAAGTCAAATGATAATGGGATGAGACCAGCATAGACCATCAGCTGATGTGTCCCATTTAATTTCTGTCCCACATGGTTTTCCTGGACCTTCTTAATGGCATATTCTAAAGCAAAGTTGAAAAGTAGTGGCAATAAAGCATCTCCTTGTTTCAGATTATTCTGGATAGGAAAATTAGCTGACAGATGTTTACCTAAACAGACTTTACTGTGTGTTCTTTTTTTAAACACATTTTAATCAGTCTAATTAGTTTCATGGGTACACCAAAGTCTATCAGAATATTGTACAGTACTTCCCTCCTAACTGAATTATAGGCTTCCTTCATCCGGAGATAGGGACTAGCTCTGTCTATTGACCCCAACTGAGTAGGTTTTACCTGAGGGCGGGGACAGAATCTAGTCTCTGAAACGTTGTGTTTTAAAAAATAGACAGGACGATTTTTAGACAATAGACAGGATGATTAATAATGTAATGTAATTGTCAATGGGAAATCATCACCTTGATTCTTAATGGTTTTATCTCCACATTTTATGGAAGGGAGAAAACAAGGATACAGTGTTTGAAATGAATAGTGAATGTAGGAGCTAGAGCAGAAGGGAATTTCCTTTTCTGATTTTCATTATGAGCTTACTTAGTTTTATCATGGATGTACAGCATTTATGCCCACTGAACTAAGTGCATTTATAACCCAAAAAATAATGAAAATTTGAGACAGAGGCAATAAGCCCATATCATAAGCTAGATCTGCAAATTCCTTTGAAATTCTGTGTGCACAAAATTTATAATGTTGTATTTTAGCGTCCTGTTGCACTGATCTTCATGTAAAATTGAGTGCACTAAAAGACGGACATTGCTTACATATCATGGACACACAAAATTTCGTAGCTCAGACTTCACCCCTCAGAAGTTATTTGATTGAGAGATGGACATGTGGACATAGCCGTATGAATGAATAAAATACAGAGCTGAGTCTTTATAATAAACTAGAATTACTTTGTTAAAAATCTAAATGCTTGTGTAATTGTGACTCAAGTTAGGTGGAGTACAAATTATGATTATGTATGTGGAAGATGGTTTGAGTTGTGTCATATATGTAATAGAACATATGTCTGTTGGAGATAAGCTGCAGTTACAGCTTTTATCACGTGACATGGGATTAAGATGTTTCCAAAAATGTTTTCAGAGGAAATCCTTTTTGGAAAAGATTTTGAAATCAGTGACTGTTGATGTAATTGAGATATTGCTGAGTGCTGTTGATGTCTTGAAGACAGCTGGAAACCTTGAATTAGAAGATGACCCCACAGAAAGTGAAGAAGCGCTGGAACAGATAGCTAATTATGTAGACAGCATTGATACTGCTAACGGTATGTGTGATTTTATTTCCTGGTTTATCATAATTTTAAAGAGTAGAATATTTTCCTGTTGATTTTGATTCTGCTCTCGAGTCTTTGCATCATATGGAAGCGGGCAGTTATTCAGAGACCACAAGTAAATATTCCCCACTTCACCGCAGAATACAACTGATCACTTCCTTCTAGCAGAGGTCATGGCGCTGCTACGTTCCTACAGTGTGATGTGTGTTTGTAGAACATAGGATAATGTACAACAGAAGCAATTATATATAAAAGTGTTATTCTTTATTATGTGTCAGTCTCATCATACTCCTTTTATATCAGGATCTAACTAACTTCACAGAGCTGCGCCCTTCTTTAGAAGCCGCCAGTTGCACAGCCGCTCAAGAACTTCCCAGCAATTTATGGAACCCAAAGGTTCATTACTGTGTTTGCAGTACCCTCCACTGGTGCCTGTCCTGAGCCAGATCAATCCAGTCCATACCACCCCATCCTATCTCTGTAAGATCCATTTTAACATTGTTCACCTACCTACATCTAAGTCTTCCTTTCCTTCTAGATTTCCCATCAGTATCCTATATGCATGCCTTTCTGCCCCCATTCGTGCTACATGCCCTGCCATTCTCATCCTCCTTGACGTGATCATTCTAAGTGTACTTGGGGAAGAGTACAAGTGATGAAGCTTCTCATTATGCAGTTCCCTCCTACCTCCCACCACTTCATCCTCCTTGAGTCCAATATTCTCCTCAGCACCCTGTTCTAAAAGACCGTCAGTTTGTGTCCTCCCTCAATATCAGAGACCAAGTTTCACACACATACAGAACCGTGAGCAAAATTATACTTCTGTATATTCTAATTCTTATGTTCTTAGACAGCAGATGAGAATTCAAAGGTTTTATACTGTATAGTAGCAAGCATTACCTGAATTCATTCTCCTCATAAATTCCTTCTGAATCAGGTTTTGATTTGTTATACAAGGTGATATGTCTTTGGCTTTATAAAGAAAAAAGCAATCTACAGGACTAAAAAATCCCACAAGATCTCACCGAAATCAGTCCAAAATGGCTTGTGAAGCAAGCACTTGAACACGCTTCTGATCAGCATTGAGACATTTGGGGACCCACTTAGCTGAGAGCTTTCTCATGTCTAAAATCTTGTGAATGATACAGCCTATTCTTTCTCAGGATATTGCCACAGTCCCTGCTATCTTTTTAGTGGATATTCTTTGATTCTTCAGGATCCTGGAAAGAATGGCATCCAAGTTTTCTGGAATTGTCACTTGAGTTGGTCTCCCAGAACATTCTCTGCCTTCAGTGCTCAAATGTCCTGTACTGAACCTAGCAACCCAATTCTTGAATGTGGAGTATGAAGGGCATAGTGTAACTGACATATCATTGTAAATTTCTTTGACTGAGTTCCCTTTTAGGAAAAGATATTTCATCACCGCTTGACACACTTTTGCAGTGAAATCTCCAATGTTTTGTGCCTTCTTCACTTCAGATCTGCAACAAACATGAAATAATCAGCTACAATTATGAAATTTAGGTCAGACACATACAAAACAGTAAACTTTGATGTGATAAAAGTATTATTAGCATAAAAGTAGGTGAAATAGGAAAACCCAAAGACTTCAGCACCCCAATTATCTGAACTGTGCCACATTTTCAAAACATCTGTTAGCTATCTTTATGTCATGATTTTGCCCGGCATTCTGGTGATGAGACAGCAACATATACTCAGTTTTCTCTGTAATTATTTCTAGGCGAACCTTTTTACTAGCGTCTATAAAAGTTTGTGTGTTTTTCTTTATGGTATCTGTATTATCACCCAGTAGATTCATATCATCAGCATAGACCAACAGCTGATGTGTCCCCTTTAATTTTAGTCCCACCTGGTTTTCCTGGACCTTCCTAATGGCTTATTCTAAACAAAGTTGAAAAGGAGTGGCAATAAAACTTCTCCTTGTTTTAGACCATTCTGGATACAAAAATCATCAGACAAATGTTTACACATACGGATGTCATAATATATGTTTCATTTAAAACATTTTAATCACCCTAACTAGTTTCATCTGTACCCCATACAGTATCAGAATATTGTAGAATACTTCCCGCCCTGTTGGTCTAAGTGCATGGGGAAACCCACCCTCCAATACAATACAGTACTTCCCTCCTAACTGAATCGTAGGCTTTCCTGAAGTATACGAAAAGCTTATGTACTGTCTCATTGTACTCCCATTTTTTCTCCAGTATCTGATAAATGCAAAAGATCTGACCAGCAATTGATCTGTTATGTCGAAACCCACACTGATGATCCCCAATAATTTCATCTATATATGGATTGAGAGAAGGATATTGGGTAAAATTTTGTATGAAATTTATAGCAGTGATACCGCACAATAATGGCATTTTCTATGCGTGTTACCACATGATGCACTGTGGTTTCAGTAGATTTACCTATTTGGTAAGCATGTTGGTTTCGGTGCAGAGAATGAATCTTCAGTGGACCATCCCTAATGTGTTTATCTACTACTTTCTCCATTGTTTTCAAAAGGAAAGATGACAGGTATAATCAAGTTTCCCGGGCTTTGGTATAAATGTCATTTTGATTTGCCTCCAGGCCATAGGGATAAACCCATGCGCCATGCAGGCTCTGAATGTGGGGCATAGGTGTGGAACTAAATGTTACACCCCTTGCTGCAGAAGTGCTGGTACAGATCTCAGAATGTAATATTTCACCTCCCTCTTGAATCATTTCTGCCGGAATTTGATTACTACCTGGCGATTTATGCCTTTATAACATTGCAATAGCAACTTCAACCTCAGGTACTGACAGCTCAGCTGTATGTATTTCTATATGCCCAACCTCACTGACCCTAGGTTCATTCAATAACAGAGAAGTAGCTCTTCCACCTCTTCAAAATGTAGGAATCTGCAAGCAGCTTACCATTCTCATCCTTCACCAAGTTACTTCTAGGGTGATGACCCCTTTTATATTCATTTATTCCTCTATACAGGTCTCTAGTGTACTTGTTCTTACTGTACATTGCAAGCTGGTCAATTCTTCTTTCAGCTATTCCCTCTTCTTGTTTTTAAATGCTGGCTGGCTTCACATATTATATTGTGNCAGCTCAGCTGTATGTATTTCTATATGCCCAACCTCACTGACCCTATGTACATTCAATAACAGAGAAGTAGCTCTTCCACCTCTTCAAAATGTTGTGATCTGCAAGCAGCTTACCATTCTCATCCTTCACCAAGTTACTTCTAGGGTGATGACCCCTTTTATATTCATTTATTCCTCTATACAGGTCTCTAGTGTACTTGTTCTTACTGTACATTGCAAGCTGGTCAATTCTTCTTTCAGCTATTCCCTCTTCTTGTTTTTAAATGCTGGCTGGCTTCACATATTATATTGTGCAGATTATCCCCATTTATTTTGCTTGGATCCTGTAACCACTGCAATTTGACTTGTTTACTTTGAGCTAATAATTATCAGTATCCTTCATCGAACCATGACTTATGCTTCTTCAGTTCATGATAACCTAGAATCTCTTTGGCTGAAATTTTATATTCTCTCAAATTGTTTCCCAAGCTCTGTTAATGTCCACCTCATTTTCTAAGTTTCCCAAAGGCATGAACCAATTTCAAATTTCAACATGATACTGCTCTTTACCCTCTACCTCATTTAATTTCTTGAGATGGAACTTCTCCGTATGAAATCTGTGGATTGTTTGTTCACTCACTGCCAGTCTCCCTCTAACTCATGATCTGCTGCCATTAACGATTGAACATCAAGTATACTTGAATGCAAGCTCCTGTCTCTCAAAATAGGGTCAGTTTGGTTCTGAGGTTTTCCATCAGGAGATGTCCAAGTAAATTTATGGATGTTATCGTGTGCAAACATCTTTCTTTAGACAATAAGATTTTTGGATGGGACAAATATTGCTGCTCTGACACCATTATCATTACTAATTTCATGCAAACTCATTCCAAATTGTTGGTTTGAAAGTGTCTTCCCTACCTACTTTGGCAGGGATACCTCCTCCCAAAATTTGTATATGATATTTAGGGAATTTATTGAATACACATTCTAGTTCTTCATAGAACCTCTTCTCTACATCGTTGATTTTATCCTTCTTTGAAGCATAAACATTCAGAACAATGATATCGCATCACTGACCTCTTAAGTGTTATGTACAACATACTATCAGTAACAAACTCTACCCTTTTAACTGCTGATGTAGTTCACTTATGTATGAAGAAACCTGTATCTGATTTATGTTTCTCATTCTGATTTACATAGAAAAATGTATATTCGCCTACTGGTTTGGTGCCATCTCTGTCCCATCTGACATCTTTTATTCCCACCTAATCTAACTTATATTTTGATATTTCTTCTACCACTGTCCTGAGGGAACCTGCCCTCTACATACTTCTTACATTCCACAAACCAAATCTCATGTCTGTTTTCTTTAGCGTAGGTTGTTTATCCAAAGAATTTGTCCAGGTCTGAGGCCTTTTGTGACATTTTGTAACAAGCTTAATTTTAATGGGGAGGAGTTGTTAGCCCTACACCCAAACCCAGAGCTGGAAGACCACCTGTTGTCGGCTGTCTGTGACTCCTTATTCAATGTATTTGCAGCTGCCCTCCATATCTGGGGACCATCTCCTCCATCCGCAACCCGAGGACACGCCATATTACATATATATTTTTAAAAGGGAGCATCACCTATGAAATTAAATGCCACAATAACAAATTTTAATGTTCGAGAATTTTTAATGTCCCATCGCTGGAGAGATAAGAACATGGAACATGTACACTTAACTGCTTAAACTTTTTCAGCATGTTTGGTGAATGTGTGTGCATCCACTGCTTTGACTGCTCTGTGGTTTCAAAATTCACAAATGAAATCCGGGCGTCATCACCTGTTATGATGTGACTGAGAAATTCATCACCATCTTTGTGATATTGCTCTAAAAGGTCAAAGGTTAAGCCATTCTCTGCATTTGATATGGACCCATGAGAATTTTCAGAACCCATCTTGCACAAAACTTGTGATGATAGCATAGCCTAACATAATAATCTTCTAGAGAAGAGTGCATGAAATTTATGGAAATTCACATGAAAGTTCTAAAATTGTGAAGTGTCATCTTTCACTACAGATGGCTGATCACTTCATTCTTCATCATGAACATTTGTTCACCCATCCTGGAATATTCTACACCATTGTGTTACAGTTCCTTCATTCATAACATTTTGGATGTGAATCATGCATAATTCACAATGGATTTCCCCAGCACTCTTGTTTTTAGTGTGAAGAAAGTGGATAACAACGAGAATTTTGCAGCAGGCTGGATCATCAATCACAGGACACATCATGACTCACTCTGTAGAGCAAGAGCAAACTCTAGGTGACTAGTTATCTGATGGTTTACGGGGCAATGAGTCATGTGACATTACCTTGCATGCATGAGCTCTCCACTGCTCCCACATTAGCTGCCTAGAATAAATGGAGGTTACTTTCTAAATAGCCCTCATATATTGTACTCATTTCACTAATGTTAAACTTTGATTTAGATTTCCACAAGATTGGAGGGTTCTGCATTTTTCGTCCGTGCTTGGACTCAGCCCATGGCAGTTTGCGATGGAGAGCAGCAGAAATTATTGCTGAATTGACACAGAATAATCCGTATTGCCAGGAGAGAGTTTTAGAAGCTGGTCTGTTACCTGTACTTCTCTCTCTAGTTGATGTAGATCACAGTCAGCAGGTTCGGATAAAGGCACTGTATGCCCTTTCATGTAAGTTGTTCCTTGACACCGTTGGTTTTCAAATCCATCAGGTAAAGCAGATTGTACATTTTCATGAGTTTTGCTGGTATACAAAACACCTGTTATACAGGGAGGATTTTTATTTTGTTGACCAGTCCCAAGGCTCTGCACTTCTCAGTGACCATTGCACTGCCAGCTGCAAGACGCATACGGATTTTGCTGATGAGTTAGCATGTCTGCCAGCTGCAAGACGCATACGGATTTTGCTGATGAGTTAGCATGTCTGCCAGCTGCAAGACGCATACGGATTTTGCTGATGAGTTAGCATGTCTGCCAGCTGCAAGACGCATACGGATTTTGCTGATGAGTTAGCATGTCTGCCAGCTGCAAGACGCATACGGATTTTGCTGATGAGTTAGCATGTCTGCCAGCTGCAAGACGCATACGGATTTTGCTGATGAGTTAGCATGTCTGCCAGCTGCAAGACGCATACGGATTTTGCTGATGAGTTAGCATGTCTGCCAGCTGCAAGACGCATACGGATTTTGCTGATGAGTTAGCATGTCTGCCAGCTGCAAGACGCATACGGATTTTGCTGATGAGTTAGCATGTCTGCCAGCTGCAAGACGCATACGGATTTTGCTGATGAGTTAGCATGTCTGCCAGCTGCAAGACGCATACGGATTTTGCTGATGAGTTAGCATGTCTGCCAGCTGCAAGACGCATACGGATTTTGCTGATGAGTTAGCATGTCTGCCAGCTGCAAGACGCATACGGATTTTGCTGATGAGTTAGCATGTCTGCCAGCTGCAAGACGCATACGGATTTTGCTGATGAGTTAGCATGTCTGATGGCTGATATTATTCGGAATGAAGTAGCTACAATTCACAGATCACAGGAGGTGTTGAAAGTGATGTTCCCCTATATATGGATAAAAAAAAAGGTAAAGCTATCCCTGTAACAGGCCATGAAGGCCCATAGGGTTGTGAGATGTTGAGGCTCCCACATTTTCTAGACATTCGGCTCACAGATGGCGGTAAGATTGTCAGCCTTGTGCGCTGGCCACCCTTTACCCCTCAGGAAGATTCCTGGTACTCATTTCTGTTAGAGGTTGAGTCGACACCAGGGCCATAGTGCGACTGGTAGGATTAGGTAAGTTTAAAAATCTAGTGACTTCATTGGGATTCGAACCCATGACCTTCAGGCTTGAAGCATAGTGCCTCAACCAACTACACTATTGCATGCCCCCCTACATGTAACTATATCTTTTGTAATTAATTGTTTAATTAAAAAACACGGGTACAATGATCCTTCTTGCTCTTAACAGCACCCCAGACACCAGCTTTCATTGAATGGAGCAGGACTTTGTGGATTACATGTGGATTGTATGAACTCCAGTAGCAATTATTTTCAATATTTATGTATCCCTGCAAGTGAAATCACTCTTCATCAGAAAAGAGTGTCAATTGTGGATCAGTCTCACTTTCGATGACAGACTGTAGAAACCAACTGCAAAAATGAACCCTGCTATCTGTATCGCATGGGTGGATTACTGTTGTTTATAGGGTCTTAGCTTCAGCAGTTGTGTTCCCATTCCTGCACTAGACTTTGACACTCCAGTGTTTTGCTAGACGTTTTAGTGATTTTCTAGGTGTATATTCAAGTCTGGCCTCTGTGTCGTCTAACTTCTCAATAAGCACTTGGCACTTATGTTTTTGTTGCCTGTCTGTTAAGAGGGCCGTTGCGAGTTCATTCACCAAATTGTGAATTGTTCATCTGCTGAGAAGCCATTTCATCGCAGAATTTATGTCAGGATTTTTACCGACACTTTCTAGCAGATTCATGTTACATGTAGGTGACATACAGAAATACACATTGCTCTAAAGTATACAGCACCGTGATGTACCACACTGCTCACTAACTGTAACTCAGAACAAATGGCTAATGGAGCTGATAACTGCTGCATACTGCTGACAGATCATAAACAAACTCCCATTCATGAACCACACTGCTTGCCCTGAAACATATTGCTGTCAAACAGTTTACAAATTAATTTCTTCCCTTCATTCCAAACGTTATCAGCCATCAGGCATATTGATTCATTGGCAAAATTTGTGTGTGCCTTGCAGCTAGCAGTGTAATGGTCACTGTGAATTGCAGAGCTGTCAACCCATCAACAGAAACTCTCTGTATGTGGAAACAAGGGTAAAAGTTCCATCAAAATTTTCGTTCATTGACCTTGTATCAGTGAAAATAAATAGCTTTATACATATTTGCCTTGATCTTTTAGGATGATATATTGACATGGATATCTTTTATTGCTTTGTAGTGCTCATGGATTTCTTGTCATTTTTGACATGATTGATAGGGAATATTAAAGCTAACGGGATTGTAAATGAATAGAGGAGGGGGGGCACTCATCTAGCAAACAAGGTACAATTATTGTCTTTTTGGGCATTATCTGTTGTCCCCCCCCCAGAGGCTGGGCTGTGTCTCAATCCTCATTTAAAGCCTACTCAGTTGGGCTCAATCAGTAAAGCTAGTCCCTTTCTCCTGGGTTAGGGAGATAGGGACTAGCTCTCTCGATTGGACCTCACTGAGTAGGCTTTTGCCCGAGGGTGAAGACAGAGTCCAGGCTCCGAGATGATATTTTTAAGTAGAAAACAGAATGATGGATAATGTCCAAAAAGGCAATAGTTGTGTTGGTATACCATTGTCCCATTGTTACAAGTTTTTGGATGTTATTAGCAAGCAGGTTATTGAAAATACTAGCTGTACAGATAAGATTCCCTACAGATGTTACAATGAAGCAGAAATGAATCTAGAAGAGAGTCCTAGTCAGTTTACTGTATCTCCTACTTTACATTATGCTCAAACCAAAATTTCTTGTATGGAAAATTTTGACATAAAACAAATCTTGAGATCGACAGTTGAGAAGGTTGGTGCAGCAGTAACACTCTATATCTGTATTCCGGAGCGTCTTGGTTTGAATCTCTGCTGAGTGAGGTTTTTTGTAGTCTCCCTTAGTCCCTCCAGGCAAGTATCTGGATAATACCTAGATTAGGCCAAAGCCACTTTATTCTGTCACCATTCCTATTAGTTTTCTACCAAATCATCCTACCATTCAGTGCTGTATAGTCTGAGATACACCCCCAAATACCAGATTTGATTGAAACCCATTCAGTAATTTTGGAGAAGAAACAGGGTGGTGGATGATTAGGTATTACCTATTGATTTTAGGTACTTTGTTTAGAGAATGACTATAAAGGTTTTGTGGCCACATAATTGGCGTGACATATATCATGTTTTGGTAGTTATTTTTTTGACATCTTTTTAGGTCTAATTAGGGAAAATAACCGTGCACAGGAAGAATTCAGTCAACAAGGAGGTTACCCTGTTCTGCTTCGAGCCATGCAAAGTCATGTTGAAAAACTGCAGATCAAATCAGCATTTCTTCTGACATACATTTGTCATCACCAGCCTGCTGTCAAAGGTAATGCAAATGTGAGCTCCAGTGTTTGTTCTGAGATTCAGCTTTTGTAATTTCTGCCACAGAAATAATGTTTTGATGTATGCATTTAGTTAATCTTCTTTGGAAATGACAAAACCACTGTAATGCCTATCATTAGAAGACTGCTTAATATTTTGTCATGTAGAATTGTGTTCTGAGCTTCAGTGGTATCCAAAATTCTTGCATCACTGTCCTAAGCAGTTCCTGTCTCTATTATGTACAAGATTTCCTATGTATGCTAAATTTGTGGGAATCTTATGTGCGAGGGGCTGATTGTTTGCCACTTAGCAGTGTGGTTGCAGTTCCTGAGGAATCCACAGCAGTTGCAAATTTTTCCAATTGATCTTACTTTTACTAAGAGTGAATTAGGAGAAGTCACTTTCCAGTAACATCCTATGCATCTAAAAAGATTAATTCACTTTTTTTTTATCAGCACTTGAAAGTATTGTCACGTGTATGGGTGACTAAGATGTGGGTTTGGATTGGTAATTGGATTTAACCTGCAAGTCATAACTACAATTTATTATTACACTACTGCTGATTTATACACTCCACGCTAATTTCTTCAGTCTATCTGCATTAGTCTTCATGGGTTTATAACATGGGAACTTTAACAGTCTCACTGAATCACACAGTCCAAATATTACAAATAAATAAGGTCTTCTAATCACACGTAAAGTTTTCACAGGCCGACTTCTAGTTCTTCCCATGTCTATATACTGGCTTGCTTGCTCATGTGCTTCTGCCACTATTATTTGTAACTTGTAACTGCTTTGCTTCTATAGACAAGGAGTGGACACGGACCTATAGTCAACATACGAAGGGGGACCCAAAAATAAACGGAACCGACCTGTTGCGCACACATGCTTTGTAGTTACGAGTTGTGCTGCTAGGTGGTGTTAGCTGGGGGTCTCCCGCGACTATTAGTGAGCTGGCGTCAGTCTGACTTAAGTGGTTTGTCTGTGGTGCTCTGTTGTGTGCGTTCCTGTTTCAACCCTTTGGCGATTAGTGAGATGGCCGACCAGAAGGAACAAAGAGTGTGCGTGAAATTTTGCTTTCTGTTAGGGA